GTTCAAATGATGGAACGGAAGTCAAATTTAGAATAAGGAAGACATCAAGAGAAAACTAATAACTATACCTTTCATAGTCTTACTTGTTTAGTTTCTTTTTCATCCGATGCCAGCCACACAGTTCTAGTGTAAAATTTCGAGTTATATTATATAGTCACGACCATATAATAAGTATATTAAACAGTTATGTTCACAATAATTCTCACTTACCGACAGTCATTGTGATAAACAAAGACTGCTCTACGAATGGGGTATCAAACGTCAAATTTAAAATAGCATCAGTAAGGGATAATTTTTGACGGTACTTAAAACCACACCATAAGTAAAAGACTGAAACAGACAAAACCTTTCAGTTTAGTGTTACTATAAATAGTAGATTAAACTAAAGATTAATTATTATAGAGAGATTTTTATTACTGTTCAGGTTCTAGTTTAAACCCACTATAGTTGACCGGATCAGTGCATCCGCTTTACTCAGGCAACATTTTATGACTTTCTATCCTGACAGACTCGACTTTTTAATCCAGGTTTTTCATTCCTCTAATACAAACCAAAGTAAAATAATACTAATCGACACTGTTTGAAGAAGGCTAGATGAAGAAACGACATTTTCGACTGATCATAATTGATTATCTGCGTATTCTGGCAACAGTCAAATGACACTGTTACATGTCCACAGTGATCAGCCCTTAAACGTCTGATGACCGTTCTTCTAAGGCGGGGCATGTTCAATGTGGTAAAAAGACCTGACCAATATTTACTACTACCTCACAGTACCGGTCTATATAATTGCTTCTGTTTGATAAAATAACGTTGTGATTAGGTCTGCAGCTTTTTCAACTTCTGCCAACGCGTTACTCACAGAATTTATGTAACATGATTTTCAGTTCGGAAGATCATCGTTTTCCTTGCTGAGGTACTACACTTCAATGTACTTAAACATAAAATCATGTAATTATTCATAGTCCCGGTGTAGTAAACATAATCAACCAATTCACCAAACAATTTAGGCCAGTACCATTATTTCTATTTTTTTATCTTTCAATGAATCCGAACATTCATGGCACGGTCAATTACTTACAATGATAGTCCCTCATTAACTGTAATCAAGGCAACTAATGTTAATCAACGATAGGCTTAGACAACTGCATTAGCTAGGCAATGTCTCCTTGTCTTCCCTTCAAATATAACACAGCTAACAGCATTAATGCTCCTTGCTGATCGGGTTACACTGATAACTTGTGGTTTGACTGTATTAAGTCCTCGAGGTGCAGGGTGTCGATTTTTGTTGGGCAAGAGACTTTTGTTTTTCAGCTCGTAATTGCACTGGCTTTGTTAAATAAAAATTGGACTATATTCATTGCGAAACTATTCAGGTGTTTGCATAACAAGTAATATTCTATATGAATTTTCATACCTTTATAGTACTACATTTTAAATCAAATTTCTGTCTTTTGGTTCATTGGTGTTTTACTGGTCACGTGTAAGGTAGTAAAGAGATAGAGTACAGTTACGTCAAACACAAAACTAGTGTGTTTGTAGAACTTTGATCTAGTTCGTTATTAGTACCACTCTAGTAATAGACCTCATCCCAAAGTTGTAGATTTATCGTGATGTGACCACCTAATTTATGAAGGCTTGCGTAGAAGTCCCATTATCTTCTGCACCGACTAGCCATATATTAAGATTAGGCAATATAACAACTAGCGCTTTTTACGAACACGTTTGGGCTAAATATAAAATAGTATATTTAGTGTGAATAAAGACAAATTATACAAAATGATCACATCTGCAAGGCTGAGCCACATCACCGATTGATTGTATGTGCCCGCGTCCCCCATTGTTGGCCTTCTCTCTGTTTTAAATGTTGAATATCTGTTTTCCCAGTTATCGCATGTTCACCTTTGAAGATCATGTGCTTGGGTGTAATATCACTACAAGTTCATAGCAAACAGATTGAAGAACGGGAGTGCAAAAATATTTTCTGTCAAAAAACTTCCTAGTCTCTCTCCCCTAAAAATAAGTAGGTGATTATATATCAGCCAAGCTGTTGGGTTCATGTGAAGTCATGTTGTTTATGTAAGTGTAACGTCAAAAATCTTTTCTTTAGTACGTAGTTCGTTTTTTGCTAGCAGCTACAGGGGGCAAAAATCCTCTTTGATACACTGAGCTAGTGATCGAAACTAGTGGCTGATAATGAACAATAATACCAGTAATAAAACATTAAAAGGGTGGAACATGTAGAACTGTGGGATAGTTTGATATTAGTACATTTATCTTTAGACATTTGTTACGGCCTGACTATCCGATCTATAAGATCTTAAGTAGAAGCCACGTCATGGTCTACACTGACTCGTCCTACCGTGCAATCCTCAATAGGACGTCTAGCATTTTTGTAGAACACATTTATTAGAGGATAAAATAATGTATATAATGTGGAAAGTTATAGTTTACTCAAAAGGACCACGCCTGCAAGACTGAGCGAAATCACACTGAATAATATTCTCTGCGTTCACCATATCTGACCTCCTCTCCATGTCAAATGTTGAGTGTGAAATTTCTCAGTTATTTTCTTTTCAACTTTGAGAACCAACACCTTTACGACCAGTCGATACCGAATCTTGATAAATTTTGGTTTCAGCTGATACTAATGCCACCATTATAGATTCTAACAAATAAGTAGTCCAATTCTATTACAAACGGTGGGAAAAAATCGACCGGATTAAGTTGTAACAGTCAAAGGATGAGTTCATGTGTAACTTACCAAAAATATGTGGATAAGTAAAACATATCAGAATAGTGAACTGCAATAAGATAGGAAGGAAATGTATACAAACTAAAATTGTCTGTAAAAATGTATGATAATAATTTGATATTGAATCAGGATAACACATAATATACAGAAATAAGAGATTTGGGAATAGTAAATTTGAGTAAAGGATGTAATAAAAGCTTATGGTCTCCTGGAATTCATAAGAAGAGGGGTTTTTACACACACAAAGATAAAGGATCTTTGAGTTGTCCTTTATTTCCTTGATGATAGTGTATATCTGACAAAATTAAATTCATGTAATGAGCTTGAAGTATCATGTACTTACGAGGTTCAGACAAACTTTTGTATCTCCGTGAATGTCCTGGATCACTCTGTTGAAGTGAGAAATATTCAGCACATCTTTTAAGTTCTTTATTCATTCACTTTTACCAATAGTTCCGTACATTTAAATGTTCACTGAAAATTATGTGCCAAACACCTCGACTGAAAATTCCGTAAAGCTATAGATAAGTTATGGAACCAAAGGTATTTAAGCCAAATGTTTAAAACTCTCTCCGAAAAATAAGTCACCTTGCTCATTACTGACAAATATGAAGTTTCTTAGGCAACGAATATTCTTCCAATTTATTATGAAAAAGCTACGGAGATAGTTAACAAAGAGTCATTTTGTAATTATTTTCTGTTATAATTTGTGTTTTTTCATTAATTGTCATGGTTTGTACTGTTGCCATGTCAAGTACACATCGGTTATTCTAGCTCCTGAACGGACCACTCTATTCATTCTTCCGGAGTCATATTTTGACCTTGTCACTTATTTGCTTGTTAGACCTGACTGTTTTTATATGAGTATATGTGTGTTAATTACGTACCCTATTCATTTTGTGTCCGTAACGTATTTTTGTTTGACTATGAATATCGGGCCATGCTTCATTAAATTGAGTTGGCTAACTCGCCTTCTCCGCTCCCCGTCACTTTGTTTTAATAAACGGAATACACACATTAAGACAATAAATAACAAAGATTAGTTCAGCGAAGAGTTCTCCTTCCTTCAGAGCTGTACAGTCGCAAATATATATATGCTTATATTTACAGGATGATAATAATACTGATAATAAACCTGTTATACATGGTGAAAGTCAGGTTAAATAAACAAAGGTATTAAAAAGATTCTGAAACAAGTAAAGTTTAACAATCGTTTGATTGTTAATGGCTTAAGTATTCAATAAAAGATAGATAGGAAAATTAACATTGGGAAAAGATGACTCAGCATGATAAAATAAAATGTTGAAACAAAGATGAAATGTAATCGGAATCATCGTGGAAAAAAAAGCAAACCGATTGGGGGTAGAAGATTTAAAGGGAAGATAGAAGGTGAAGCAGATGGCTGTAAAGGAACAAGAGTATGAAAAAGAGAGGAAAATTTAATACATCAAGACCATGGTAGAGGCAGAGGTTGTACCAGTCTCTTTTGCACACACAATTCTAGTTTGTCCACGCCGGCGTGGCTAAAAAGAGGAGGCAACGGCTCAATAAGAAGTTCTGTAATCGAACACCTTGTGAACGCAGGTCATTCAATCAAGACAGACTCTGAATTCAAAGTCATCTACAAGGTAAGTAGAAGTCTTCCTAGGACAATTAGACTGCATCTTCTTTGCATTGCCGAAGCAATAGCCATCTGGAAAAACCAGAATTGTGTGTGCAAAAGAGATCACCGGGTGATCTAACTCGAGTCAGATACAGGACCATTGTAAACTTGGCACTTAAATTATACCTCAAGCTATCTAGAATAGAAATCAATAGGAATTTCAAAATACATAAAAACAACCTTTATAAGTTATTTGTTACGATTCACATGATATAGACCGAGCATCACATGCTGGTCAAATGTATGCAAAATCCCTATAAACATGGAAAGCAAATCTCGATCCCCGGCTTGTAATAAAAGCCTTGGGATACTACTGAAGGAGGTGTCAGCACTATTGTCAAGAAACGGCCTAAACTCTGCGGCTTGCTGACTGCACTCCAGTATTGTGAGATTAACATTCTGACAGATATTGAGTTCCACCAGCATTTTTAAAAAGCGCCATTATTTTGACACAAAAATAAAGGCTATGAACCAGCTTGAACTATTACGATGAACCTAATTATTTACTGACATTAAATAGTCTCAGCACTTGATCACCACGACTCCAAATCGTTCCAGTCAGCTGTTACTTGTTTGTTTATCTGTTTTCGAAAATTCTGCGCTCGGAATCTTCAGATGGCTGTGGATGTTGTGTATGCGATTATCTAGTTACTGTTTTGTTCCTATGGATATGTAAGTCAATGACTTCATAGTTTTAAAATGGTGGTTCTCTCAGTTCTAATTTTCCCTAGTTTACATTCTAGCTTATCATTACCACTTGACTTCTTCAGATACGCTCGTTTAGAAAGTGGATTTATATTGTTAAAAAAACCTAGTTTTTCTTATTTTGATTTTTCCTATCACCAAGTTATCTTTAGAACTATTTGGTCAATGGAAGCAAACGGTTTTCCATTTCCATATGTACTTTATTAGTTGCTTGATTTCACGCATATGCGTATTTATATACGTGATGTCACAAATACTCAACTTAAGTCCCTACGTGATATCGTTGGTTCACCTTAGCTACCCTCACGTTTTGAGTGTAAAAAATTGGGGCCAAATATTACATGAATAATTTATGCACTCTAAGTGGAAACTAGAGCTATCTACGAATTCGTTTTCGAAGGCTAAATTATCTAACTGTTGACACCTATGCAGAAAAGAAATAACGTAGATACCCATCTTTAGGAATCGCTACTCATGTGCAGTTACTTAGGTGTGCGCGAAACATAGTAGGTTTTCGGAATCCTATTGCCGAGATCTCTTGAAACCTAAAACTGCAAATTTCTGCTTTTAAGGCGGTTATCACCATCACCAGAGTACAATGTTCATACAGGTTATAACTTAACCTAGTAATTCACTTTAAATTTCCCAATAATTCCGCCTCCATCTTTTTATTTTGTCTAAAATTTGGCACAAATGAGCATCAGATAAATATGCTGCGCTCAAATAAGAAAATGGGGCAAAACTATAGTTTATGGACGAACCAATACGATATAAGATAACATGTCTTGGATCTTGGCGCAAAATTCACTCGTCCATTTGGTTAAAGAGCGTTTCGGTATGATGTCAGTTCGTGAAGATTTTAAAACGAATCCATAACCCTGCCCATCAACTGTAAATCATAATCCTTATTCTTCACACACGTTTACAACTCTCATTTAGCCCTACAAAGTATGTGGACATACTCAAGGCCATTTTAGCGTAACTCAAATGTCGTCCGTGAATTATAGTTTCACCAAAATGACATTTCGTTTTAAAAACTATGGCCGAAAACAATTCTTTCACTTGGAGTTCCTCTGACTCGTGAAGGATGTAAAAATTATCTTCGAAAAGACTTCCATTAGTTTCTCTTCAGAGTCATGCCTTATGACTTCTCATGCACTAAGTTGCAGCGTATCTAAAATTTATTTATTATTTATTTGAACATATAGATATTAGTACAAGGAGGCACCAAATACATACGCGCCACACATCTCATTTGATTTGTGCGAGGGCTGTGTTACTGCCCTGGTGCCAAAACTGAAGCAGGAGCGTATCTAGGACCTCAACCAGAGGTCGTGGTTTATTGCCGAATACTTATCTTATCTAGGCTTTATTTATATCGTGAAGCCATACTATAAACTGTCTACCTTCTCGCTTTTTCTACTCTGTTCTACATCGGCAAATAGTGCATGGTTTGAAAAATATCTGAAATGACTTATGGAACAATTCCAAACAACTGAAGTGGTTGTTTGATAAATTTCTGCACTACAACAATATTTCTCACCATTTCTGTCGATGAGACTACGGTTACCACCTTTACTAATCTGGGATTTACCCTAACAGTTTCATCTTGCTGTGCTAAAAGGGTTTGGGAACTTGAATCAATGTATATATGTACCAGGTTTTACGTTGCGTCCTGCTGACTATTGTCTTCGCCGTTAATTAGAGTAGAAAGATCATTTTAGTAATAAGCTTTTTGATGATGACTGGTATATCAATGAAAAGTACATTTGGATCAGTTGATTATGTGCGAATTATAATGATTAGCATTTATGAACTAAGTATTTGTCATCAAATAAAAATCATAGTAAAAATGTATTAAAAGGCCTTAAGCATATTTCAGACTTATTTAGTGTAACGGGAAATAATCTTAATCGGTATTGATTTCCTCTCTCATAAGTTGTATTTAGAGATTACACCCACAAGATGGCGACACTAATCGAGTTATCACCACTGTCCGAACACATTACTAAACATCTGAATTGCTAACAGTGTTATCAACAGTCCTTCAAAGACAGCGATAACCAAACGCGGTCATCTAACATACTCAACTTGTAGAGGCCAGGTTTCGCAAACACAGAGCAGTGCTGTTCTTACAAACATATCGTAAACCCAACCTTCTACAGCCAAACTAACATCACAAGTACCAAAGATAGTTTGAATTAGCATAAATCGCTCTAGCTTTCACCATACATAGACTGACCCCATCAGTCACACTTCCAGCAGCACACACAGATACACTGACCTTTAGATTATTTCTCACAAAGAATGAGTGCCGGTACAAGCTTTCACCAGTCCTATGAAGCCATTGCATTTAGAAGGTTCAAAGTAAATTCCGTATTAAGGACACTGATTAATTGTCACTTACATGGCTCAAATATCACGGCACTGCAAGACAATATCATCCAGATACTCAAGATCGAACTGTTTCTCCGGTTAACATCCTCACCACCACTATGTACTCTTATCACAGTTGCCTCCAGGATATTATTGACCACAATAGTCTGAAAAGTCTCATTACTTAGTACCTCGTTGATCAATTTGTACAGGTTTCAAGCTGCATACGACATCGTTTCTTGTCACACCCTAACTATTGCGAAGCTCCACTTCTTGAGTCGTCCAGTGATTATAACACCATTAGTCTGAATCTGGTTAAATATCACCTAGATTTATAAAAAAATCAGTATATAGTTGGCCGTAAAATGCCCCTGACTAGTTGATATTGAATAGCTTCAAAATACAATCTCTGAAGTGTTAACTGAAAAATTACATGTATTCATAGTAGAAGGAACAGTGTAATGAGAAGACCATACTTTACATGGAGTTTCGAAGTTCATCCCATTCTTTTGATGACCCCTCTCACTTTTCGGTGATATGTTCTTTGGTCTGCTTCTTTTCCTTTTGTCTTAATTACATGTCAGAGCTTACTTTGTGATGCACGTCGATTTCCTTAGTGTGACCTACTCAGCAGTCTAATCGGCTTAATTGGTTTTCTGTGGTTAGCTTTTTTACATCAAAGTTCTTTTTACAACATGGGGTTTCTAACCCTACTCCCAACTTCCTTTATCCTGACTTAGGACTGTCAGTAACCCTGAAGGGGTTTCAGGTGAAGTTAGCTTAGTGTTATTATAGTCTAGGATTTCACAGTACCACTCGGTAGATCTAGTTTAATACGGTGAAATTTTCTGCCAAATTGCTTCTAGGAAGTGTTTCCTTCGAGGAAAATTCGACTAGGGTATTCGTGAACTCCATTTTTTGCGTACTTGCTCAGAATCTTGTCGTTTCCCTTCGAAATTCCCAAAGTAGTTTACCTTAGTATTAAAAATGACCTGAACCAAGTTCATGCTTCGCAAAGTTAAGGGATCTAATACAATGAACCAGATCATACTAGTATTATCATTGTTTTCGAAGATAGTTCGATTTGGAATGTAATTTCTCTCCCTTACTGAAGTAACGTTTCTAATCAGCCTTGAACCCTACCCTACCTACTACAGTTTGGGCAGCCGGGCGGTATCACGAGCCTTATAAAGTATGACTCAAAGCTGCTTATACAAATCCGCACATAGTAAATTAATGATATTAATTACTTTACGATTGATTAATACATAAGTGTTTTCAAGCCCATGTGGTATAAAGTTTGGTCCTTGTTCTCTCCAAATATCAAGATTCTTTCTGAGTAATAGGTAATTCGTCTGATGAAATACTGCTGAATCTAATGCCTATATATTCTTAATCTAGTAAATATGTTCCATATTAATCCCACTGGCATTTGGTACTTCAGGTAGGTAAAAATGAAATAACTGTTGTTAATCCATTCATTTTATTTGATATACTCATCAGCAATGTTGAAAACCCAGATAAAGTAGTATGAACTCCATATTTTACCGAAAATATAATATTAAATAAAGAGATTAATAATAATTTACCAAAATCAAGATATATTAAGTACTAAACGAATAAGACTGATTTTTAAGAATCTATTTATCTCATTGGTATCTAGTTTTATATATCTAGGATTCAGGACAAAATATATCTAGGATTCGTCTTTAGCTACAGATATTCCGCACTTTGGGAGTCATCGAAATTGTCATACAATTCCTCACACGTGATGTTAATGGTTATAACTCAGTTGTATTCAATTTTAATTTAAAGGTTTATAATGCTGTAAATCTTTCCGAACTTTGGTAAGTGAACTATTACCCATATCCATTATCCTGTCTGAACCTATAAAATACAGCTGAAACTAGTTACTACATACCTCAATAGCTTAATTTTGTTTGTTACAATGGCATTTTTTACTATTTCTTTATCTGGGAAGGGATATTATAGATGTTGGTTAAGAATGAGCTTTTCTTCACCGTAATGGATATTTTTCTTTTTCTAAATCTTGTCCTACTTATGTAGACTAACGAAGTAACTTCGTTTTATTTTCCACTTTAAGGTACCTTTGCTATGCCTCTTCATGTAGATCCACGTAAACACGAACTTCTGGAAGCTAGAATTCAGGGAACTAACCATATTAGGTCAACCAATAATGCGCCTCGCTCCACAAAGTCTAATTCGTATGCTTCTGGATATATGTTTCCAATAACAGAAGAACCTTCCGGCACTCCAGAACACTCAGTTTTACGTGGTTCTTCCAGTCCATTCAGTTCAGTCGGTGAACATGACCTAAGTACTAGTAGCAGTGAGATTAAGCCGGTTTCCACAGTAGTTCCTTCGATATCAGTTGAAATCAATGAAAGAATTCCGAATGCAACAGATCCAGGCAAAAAGTTGCATAACCCGAATTGCCATAACAGTAATCGACTGGAGGTCACTAGTCCGGGTCTTAATGTTCAAAATCCTCAGATCTACGTTCAGACGCAAGAAGATTATGTGACTTCACCTACGACTCCAAAAAAAAAGAGAATCCCTTCAAGTTCTGTAGGAGAGTCTGACAACACATCAAATGACGGTCTTCTTACTTCCCTCGTAAAATCGGACGATAAGTTGATAGAAGCTTCGGCTCCTGGTATCCCAGCAAATCCTCTTGGTTCGCCCCAAGGCCTGCAGTATGTTTCAAGGTCGAACTCTATTCATACCCCAACCACTGTTGCGGGCAACAGTCCTGTGAAACAACCCTATACATTTGTAGAGGAAAAAAATGCTCCATATCCCACATTCCAAATTTCCGTCCAACCATCCGCAGCATTTATCGAAACAAACAATCCTACATACCACCTATCTCCTTCGATAGGACCACATACTCCAACTCCTGGTGGACAAGGTGATTCGTTGACATCCCGAAACGGCACAAAGAAACGGCGAAAATTAGTGAGTTCTGATGAAGGTCATACACCGAAACCTAAAAAAATGGTTTGCCAAGAACGTGGTTCAAAGCGTATCGATGAAATCTTTAAAGTGAGTTGTGCATTTTTCCCCTCCTAAAATATGCCGTTCACTCTCTAGACTGTCATCTAATCAGTTTTGTAATAATTAGGTCATCAGAAGAACCTTAAAAATCGTAGATTCAGGAAATTACAGGTGAATTAACATCAATATCTGCCAGGTAATTTTATACGTTTATTGGAAGTCCTGGATCGAATTTGTGTTAATCAATGAACAGATAACATGTCAAAGATTTTGACTTCTCCATAATGTGTGCATCGTATCTGTCGCTCGACTCTGATTTTGTTATTGTAGGCTGTTGTTTTGGTCTAAATGTTGTATGCTATAATTGTCCCACCAGAATCCATTTTTCTTAAATATATGTATCTCGAGAATTCAAGAGTTTAATCACAGCTTATCTTCACTCATCTTTTCTCATTCAGTTCATGCCTGGGCCATTATATTCATCCTGTGGTTCAACCAGTCCGACACAAAATCCTCGCCTACAGAGTCCTGTAAGTCTACATCTTATATTCACTGTGTCCAGATCTCTAAATAATATGTAGCAGTATTGGATCAGCTAGGTTTTGAAATTATCTGTTTCATCTCTTACTAACAATGCTAAGATGAACAATTTTCATCTAGATTTATCACGTAAATACTTTTCTTGGATTGTTTCTACTAAAAATTCTCGAATCATCTGATATAGATAGTTTCAGAATAGTCAGTCAGTCAGTCAGTAACAACGTAGAACTTCGTACGTACGTACATCAGTTCGAGTTGCCACACCACCTTAACACAGAGATGCAGTTGTCGATTCAAATCCCATTGTGGTGGAGGTAGCAAGAGTGTAAGCAGTGATCGGGAAGATTAGGGTTTGGAAATGTTATTTAAAGAGTATAATTCAGTGAAATAAATTTAGAAAGACGAAAAAAGAAGGGGACATGAAGAATTCAGAAGATTAGAATTTGGGAGAACACAAAGAGTGGATGCACCTTCGCCAATGCAAACGATTTTGAGCCATGTCATTCAGGGTCTCTAACCATCGGTTGCTATCATCTCGCGGTCCCCAACCAGGTAGTCTACACCTATCAACATGACTCAAACCACTTGTCAGTGACTTCATGGACTTGTGCCATGTTTTGGTCTGGCCGCCCCTAGCTTTCTTCCAACCTATTCCTATACCACTGAACATCGCACGTCGAGGTAGTCGGTCGTTGAGCATACGTAACACGTGTCCCAGCCATCTCAACTGATGAAGTTTCACTACTTCACCAATTGATTTTCCATCCTTACCTAGTACCCGTTTCCTAACAACTGCATTACTTACTCGATGGTCCCATGATATACGAGCAATGTTTCGAAGACACCTATGATCGAATGCTAGTAACCTACGAATATCCTCTACTCTTACCGGCCATGTTTCACTGTCATAAAGTAGGACGGGACGTACTGCTGCGCAGTAAACCCGTCCTTTGGTTGATAGACGGATATCTCGCCTACGCCATAAATGACGCAAGTTGGCAAAAGCTAGTCGAGCCTTCTGTATCCATGCTGAGATTTCGTCACAAACCAGACCACAAGGGCTGATGAGACTTCCAAGATAAGTGAAGCGGTCGACACACTCAACTACTTCACTCCCTATCACTAGTTCGGGTGTCGATGTAACCCAATCCTGAAGCAACATTTTGCATTTCGAGGGAGAGAATCGCATCCCGAACATGCTTGCATTGTTGCTTAGAGTGGTCAGAAGACTCTGCATTTTGTCAGGGTCTTCATCAAATAAAACTATGTCATCAGCATATTCTAAGTCAACAAGTGAACCTCCCGATAGAAGTTCAAACCCTGGAAATTTAGATGAGGAGAGTGTTATCTCTAAAAGTACGTCGACCACAAAGTTGAACAAGAATGGAGAGAGTGGACAGCCCTGACGAACACCACTTGATGTAATCAATTCTGATGACAGTTCGCCATAAGCTCTCACCTGACCAGTTGTGTTCGAGTAGAGAGCCTGAATAAGGTTAATGTACTTCTTTGGTACTCCTTTCAGTGACAAACACTGCCATCGAACCTTACGATCAACAGAGTCGAATGCCGCCTTAAGGTCGAGAAATACTACCCTTGTGGGGCGTCTGAATGTGTGTCTGTGTTCTAGAACCTGACGTAGTGTGAATATTTGGTCTATACAACCACGTCCAGGTCGAAAACCAGCCTGGTTTTTTCTAGTCTGCTCTTCACGAGCTTTGGTTAGGCGTCGAAGTATTATTGAAGCTAATATTTTAGACGCTATATTAGTCAAACTGATTCCTCTGTGATTGTCACAAGAGGACTTTTGTCCTTTCTTATAGACTGGCACAATCAGTGATTGAGACCAGTCAGATGGGATTACGTCCAGTTCCCAAATTCTACCTAAGACCTCGGTTAATCTCATTGCTAATACTGAACCACCATCCTTAAAAATCTCAGGAGTAAACCTGTCAGGGCCTGCTGCTCTCCCTCGTTTCAGATTTCCTATGGCATTTTCAACTTCGTAAAGAGACGGAGGACCTACATTAACTTGCCATTCAGGTTGACTGGGGATCGTGGGAGACCGAAGTGTGGCTGACGGCCAGTTGAACTGATCCCTGAAGTGTTCTGCCCATCGATCCAATCTCCTGGATTGGGAATGAATAATATGTCCATCTTTCTCTGAGATTGTTTCGCTAACGGTCGGGTTCCTAATTCCGGTTTCCTTAACGAGTCTGAACAATTGTCTGCTATTACCTATTGCCGCTGCCTTCTCCATCTCTCTTGCTTTCGCTACCCACCACTGTTCGCGATCGTTGCGTAGACTTCTTGTCAGCTTGCGCTTAAGCTGATTCCGCTCTTCACTATGTTCAGAGCCAGGTGGAATGAATTTCCGAGCATCTATCAGTGCGATAGATGCTGCTGAGATCCAGTGTTGCTCCCTAACCTTCTGGTTTACCTTACTAGCAGATATCACTGCTGTTTCCACAGCTTTTCGGATATCATTCCATGCTGCCTCGGGGTGGGCATCACATACATGGCTGCCTAACTGTTTTCCTAGTTGTTCCTGAAATATACTCTTAGCTTGACTATCATTAAGTAGGGCTATAAGAGGTTTCCTTGCAGCGTCTTTCCTACGTCCAGTAAGACGCAAGCAAATACGCGCTCGCACTAGAGCATTATCTGAATCTAAGCATGTGCTCCAGAATGAGCGACAGTCTTCTATCGAGCCCCTCCATCGGTGGCTGATGGCGATGTGATCTATTTGGGTCCAACGTTGGGACGAATTAGGGGGTCGCCATGTTGAAAGATGTTTTTCCTTATGCTTAAAGTTAGTATTTGCAAGGAACAGGCGATTATCTGAGCATAGCTGCAACAGACGGTCGCCATTATCTGTTCTTTGAACCACGACACCATAAGATCCACCTAGGTGTCTTTCCCTATCGCTTAGTTTACCTACTTGAGCATTAAAGTCACCGGCCACTATTACTACATCCGAGCGCCTAGCTTTTCGGAGAAGGTGGGAAATCTTTCTGTAAAACTCATCTTTTACATCATCTGAGCTGCAGTCAGTGGGAGAATAGGCAGAAACGACGAAGAGGCAACGACGGGTGTCCCTATCTTTCCGGATTCTTACTGTTCCGTTCAGTCGGACAGCGCACAAACGGCTGTCTACTGGGATCCACTCTAAGAGAGCTAATTCTGCCCTAGGGCTCAATGCTATACCTACGCCGGCGAGTCCACGGGAAGCAGAATCAGGGCTTCCAGATACACGAAGCGTAAATCGAGTCGGTTCTTTATTTTGGCATGGTGAAGTCAAATGAATGACGCTACTCGGATCCTGTATGCACGTTTCGGAGACGCAGCACACATCGATGGCGCGGGATTCTAAAGTCCTAGCTAAGGAAGTCTGTTGTCCTATTTGGCACAGTGTTCGGACGTTAAAAGCTCCAACGTGTAGTATAGAGCGTGGTTTCAGGAGACCAGGAATAGCGTTCCGCGTACTTGAATCGTTTGCCCTAGCGGTGCGATGTGATAAAGAGACATGAGGATAGTTAGTCATGGAGATAAGAGAGGTATTAGGAGGTGTAGGAAGGATTTGAATGTGACCAACTTGGTCTCGTGTGCTGTTACGGGTATGAGGGCTGATATCACTTCCCGGCTGCCCACACCGTGGAAGGGTATTTCTTGAGGAAGCTGAAAAGGAAATTGGATTAGTGTTGGTCTTGACGACCTGGGAGCGTGACCGCAGAGCCCAAGGGACAACTGCTTGAGGCCGGTCGCGCACGGCCTTTTCGTGGAAGGATTTTGACGTGTTAGCTCCGTTCTTCAAAGGGCCTTACCGCCGGAGACGAGAATACGTGAGGTAAGGTGAGGTGTGACATTTTTAGGGTCGATCTTTTTTAACCCCACCCCTCCTTGTGGGAAGGCAGCATCGCTGTCATGCTGGTTGTCTGAGGGAAACACCTTACTGCTGTCACACCTCTCTACAGTCAGCAGTACGACTTCGCCCTCAGACCTTGAGTTGCTGCTTTTAATCTTACCGTTCACCAATCGACCTGCCTGGCATGGTAGAACCTACAGGAACATATGTTACAGCCAATATAGCTCGGTTGGGTCATCACGATAGGCAAGCCCGATCACCGCGTCAAGGTAGCAGCTTCGGTCGGGAGTTTCAGAATAAGTGATATAACAACTCAAATGTCCGTGTTTCCGATATTATTATACCTCAACAGGTCTCTCTAATTAAATATTTTTGTAATCTCTGGATTTGATAACCAAAATAGTACATGTATGTTTACTCTGTCGGAACACAAGGTAAATAAATCCTTGGATCTAACTCGGTACATATTCGTATGCTAGGCTTTGAGTTAAACTTTGTGTGGAAGCTAGTGAATACTACCTGGCTAACAAGCTTACTGCCCATAAGCAAAACAAATAGCGCTTTTTTTCTTACTATGTTCAGATAGGCCAAGTTCCGAGAATCTGCAAATTTTGAGATGAACTTCATTAGTCATTCATGTGACAATTTGTCGAATTATCAATCCAGGGCTTCCAGGTTTCCGATGGTTTGTCTAACTTAGATCGGTTCGTGATTTCTATTGGGATATTCAGGAAAGTATCCCAGAAATTATCCTATTAGGTCTAATGCTATTCTTGGACTTGGACATGGTATGGTTTTCTTATTGGTCAGTACTTATTTCACGTGTTATTTTCCTACTGGTCAATATTGTACAATGTTATTTTCTATTTTATGGTACGTTGTGGTCTGATTGACTGGTATATAAACAAAGTATGTTTGAAATATAATGATTCATATATCCGAGGCTGTGACTTGCGTTCTGGACTCAACTACTGGGCTAGATAGGGAAGCGGGACCAATCAGAACCCTAGGTCGTTCTACGTGTTTGCGCGTCTTTGGTCCGATCGATAATTCGCTCCCCTCTAATCTGCTGCCGTTCAGTTATAACAATTTCAATAAAACCCAACAATCTCCGCAATCCCCATCAAGTTCACTGACAGTAAAAAAGTACATTGTTATTAATCAATTAAACGATCCCAAGTTCAACTCTACCTACCTTGGTGTGGTGGGTCCAATGGGACTGCTAGTTTTCATGTCATACAGTAGTTTCAGTACCTAAACTAATAACGCGGTTGGTAGGTTGCAGATTTTGGGTGAAACAATATCTGGTTACGTTACAGAGATAACTATTCTGTAGAAACGATAACTAATGAGATTTACACATAATTAACAGGTAACCAGGATAATACATTCATGTACGAGGAATACGTGACTAGCACCATATGGAAGACTAATACTGCTAACAATAATCTTATTTAGGGCTATTTCGTACTATAAACTATGGGAGAATTTTTTTGTGAGTAGGAATAGGAGTTTATCCTTACAGTTTTTGTTTTAATTGTGTACCGTTTCCCTTTTTTAGTCCCCTACAGGTGCCCATTCTCTTGATAATCAAATGGTTGGAGTAAACCATAATTACATCCCGTCGCTAAATGAAGCTGTCACTACGAGCTGCGCAAGCAACGATCAAATGATTATTACGTCAGTAACAGGAATTCAGTATGCAAATAATGCACCTACTTTCCAGTTGTCACCTGTCCGTGCCAGCAGTACAGCAAGTTTAAGTGATAGCTCCGGTGACAATCCTGTATCGATGGTTGGGTTAAGTATGGTTGCGAATGTAAACGCGAATCCAACTTCTTGTACAATACCCTGCAATGCTAATCTATTGCCTACTTATTCTAACCTTCAGCTACCTGCTAATCTTAATTCATCATATCCTCAAGTTGGACAACCTAGTGTTGGCTATCTAAGCTCTGGATCCTGTCCTAATAATCCCATGACATCAAATATTCCAGCCGTTTCTGAGTCACCCACAAACAACTTCAGATCTCATGTCGGGGTGCAAACAGATGAAACTGTCACTCCACCGCCAATTGCCGAATGTGTGGAAGGTTCACAATGCACAAACATCACTACTTTGCATAATAATCCTCCCTTAGTTACAACCGGTGGACCTGCTTCATCTGTTCCATTAACTGCAGTTGAGAGTCTTCAGCGTCGAATAGCTGATTTAGAACACGAAACTGTTGTTCAACGAGAGACCATCACAAAATTACAAGATAATGCCATTCGTTCCCGCGAAATGATACGCGAATTGCTGATTGAAAAAGTAAGTTATTTTATTATTTTCTCCTTAAATATTCTGTCTGACTACAATGCGCATAACAATATTTGATTATTAAACTGCTCAGTATTACGTCAAATAATGCTATCGTTGGTCATTTATTTACCAATGTATTTTCTTTATTCTAATGAATTTCTGATTGTATAACGTGCTTTCAGAGTTTACTCGAAAGAAAGACTACACGTCAAAAAGTTATGGAAAACCGTTTACGGTTAGGTCAATTTATCACCCAAAGACAGGGTGCTCATTTTGAAGAGAAATGGATCGAAGGTTCGAGATTTAAGGAATTAGATCAGTAAGTTCCCCTTACTATCATGTATAAAATTCAGAAATTAGTTATCAATACTTATGTTTGCCTAGTTCCCTTGTTTTTTAGCTGTTCCTTGTTATCATAGTTGATTGCAACGAAATTTTTGGATATCTGACTAATGTTTTGTTAAAAACTCAAAATCATTGGGAAGTGAAGCATAAGTACGGATTATAGACGAGTAAAGTATTTTTTATTAGGTAGGGTAACTCATCTGTCCCTACTTTGAATTAGGCAACTATGTTAGCATCAATGGTCTTTATACATAAATAGTGTGACTCAAACTTGAGTACATAAAATTTTACCATATAAATAAGTTGTCTCGTTTATTTATTTCGTCCTTGTTTGATAAGTATCGTTTTGATAATACTTATTGTAAAATTGGTATGGTTTGTAACTCTTATAATAATAACAGTGATAACATTTTATTAACTTGAACATATAAAAATTGGTACAAGGGGGCACCAAATAAATATACGCCGCACAATGACGAGGCCAGTAGCAGTTATCATTGATTTGGGTGAGGGATGTGACACTACCGGGGCATCCAAACCGAAGCAGGTGATTTTCTTAGGGGGTCACACTCGGAGCCATTCGACCTAAAAGTCTGATCCACAAGGCAGTGGAGCAAAATCAGGAGATGCAGTCCCATGGTAGCCGGTGGCCAACAATAGGTTCATACACCGTTTGCTCCTTCAGAATCCTGGAGCACATATGTATCATTGGTTTGGAATCAGGGTTTTCCAACTCTCTTAGGTGAACTCTTCATGTCCACCAAGCCGGTGAAAGCACCGGACATTCGCTTTTCGTTCTCTCAATTTCGTAAACAACACCCCCGCCACGAGAAGGCATTGAGTAGGACTTCTCTGGCAGTGGCTGTATACGCGGGCCATGTGAGAGCGTTTCGAAAGCGAGAGTTGACTCTCTCCACCGTCGGTATTTGTGGGCTCACACAATAATGTTATTCTGCTCATTTCAAGCTTTTCTATTTTCCTGTTTATTTCTTAAGGCGCCGTAAGAATATTGAACTTGTTCGTGAAGAGATTGAACGTAAAAAAAAACAATGGAACAAGCGTAAACCAAATGTTGGGGATACTAAAAAGAGTACTAAATCTAAATACGATGAGTAAGTTAAAGTTTATTTTTTCTTGTGTAAAGTTTTATGTGTACTAATTATACTATCCTAACCAAAGACGTCTTAACTGGCGGAAATGGACTTCCGGTGTTTTTGACCTTTGATATTTCAGTAATAAGTTAGATAATGCTATATAAAATTATTGACTCAAGATGGTCCTTAATAATATCACCAAATCTTAAGCACTAGATGTCAAAAACATTTTTGAATAGTAGGAAAAATCAATGAGACAATATGATATATACGTTTCGCAAAAGCTTAAAGGAAAACATGCATCAAAATAATGTAATCAATTATGGGCGAATAATCCTACTTTGTTTCTCCTATCACCGATTTCTATTGTCCCACTAACACCATTCGGAATGCTTACAATCTATGGTTTATTTTCAAACTGTCAGTCGAAAATCTTCAAAAATTGTTATCCCGTTGCTATGTTTCGAGAGATTACGAGTTCACCTAATCTGCGAACTGAACGAAGACTCTAACACAATGACCAAATAAGCTAACTATTTCGATGCATCCCAGCCCCGCTAACTAGAGAGAGACGTTCATGTTGAGAGAAGGAAATGTTTTCCACAAGCAGCCAGAAGCACGAACAACAACCACAAGGACAATTCAAGCGTATATACACAGCATAAAAATGTCCTTGGAAAACGTTACAAAATCTCATATTAAGAGAAACAACTGACCAATGACATTTAAAGTTCTCCCAAGTAGGAAATATGATATGAAGGTGGAAATGGGCGTTTTTGAAGCGAAAACAAGAAATTCAAATTTCCAAAATAAAATTGCAGAAGTGAATTCTGGGGTTTAACACTTTTGGATCGTTCATTGTACTTCTGCCTAATATTAAATAGGCAATGGTTAAGCATAATAAACATTTGTCAGGTTCATCACATAGGTACTATGTGTTTTTATTTCAGCCATACGTTTTTATCACGTAACTCATCTTCTAAGTACTGTCTTATGTAATTGGCTTTGAACCTCCCTTTAGTTTTAATACATTTAGTGATATTACCAGGCTGCCATAGCGTACGTAGGTAAGGATGTGTTTGAACCGGGGATCTATTGGTTGGAAGTCAGTTGTTTTGGAAGGGCATAATTCACACTTTCTTAGTTGTAAATCATTCGTAGACATTTTCATGAATTAGCTTAAGTTGCCACTCAAGCGTGTTCCTATTTTTGAACTTTGATCCTCAAAATTGGTACCTCTTCTGCTTATAAATCAATTAGTTTGTACTATTGTCATACTCTAATTTTTATCCTCTATCTTGTATATTGAGAATTTCAAAATTATGAATAAAAAATGATTGGATAATAATTGTTATTACTATTTTCTTTCTCTCCAGAGTCTCTGTGGATGAATTTTATGAACAATTAGAAATTTATGATTTACGTAAACAGATGCTTGTTAAAGAAGATAAAGAAATTCAAATGGAATTAGAACGATTAGATCGAGAAAGAAATTTGCATATTAGAGAAATTAAACGAATTTCTAATGAAGATGCATCTCGTTTTAAAGATCATCCATTACTGAATGAACGATATCTTTTGCTCAATTTACTGGGTAAAGGTGGATTCTCGGAAGTTCACAAGGTTGGTTGTTCATTCTTAGACTTCACTTTTGCTTGCTTCAATAAAGTAGTCCGTTTTCATCACAAACGTAATATGATCAATAAAAAACTAGACATAGATATTGTTTACTTCTAGTTCATGTTCACCTTTTTCTAACATACTCCTGGACAAGCCAGAATGAACCAATGGATTACCTCAAGGTCTATTGCACTGATGGATTCTCTTAAACTCATCCCATCAGGCTCTGAACATGATGAAAAGCGACAGTAAATAAGATCTAGGTTAACCAAGAGTTTAAGGAATGACCGTGAGCAGTGGTGGGCAACGAAAGCTAAAGAGATGGAAAAGGCGGCGGCTATAGGGAACACAAGATAGCTCTACAGACTAATAAAAGAAACTGGAATTAATAAGTCAAGTGTAAGTCAAACTATTTCGGAAAAAGACGACACTCTCATCTGCTCTCAGTCCAGACGTTTAGAACGATGGGCGGAACATTTCAGAGAACAGTTCAGCTACTCAGCTACTCTACAACTACCCTTTATTCCCAGACTGTGTGAATGGAACGTGGAAGTAGGTCCCCCGATTCTATCTCGAGTTCAAAATGCTATAACTAATCTGAAATGAAGAAGAGCAGCTGGTCCAGATGGACTAACTTCAGAGGTCTTTAAGGATGGTGGTCCAATTTTAGCGATTAGGTTGACTAATATTTTAGCTAAGATCTGGAAATTAGACGTTATTCCATCTGACTGGTCACAATCACTTATCGTCCTAATATATAAGAGAGGGTTAAAATCATCCTGTGACAACCATAGAGGGATTGGTTTAGCTAATATAGTATCTAAAATACTAGCCTCAATAATTATCAGACGCCTAACTAAGACTCGTGAACTGCAAACACGAGAGAATCAAGCTGGCTTCAGACCTGGTCGTGATTGCATCGACCACATATTCACCATTCGTCAGGATCTAGAACATAGGCATACTTATCGGTATCCGACAATAGTGGTCTTTCTTGACTTAAAAGCAGCATTTGACTCAGTAGACCGCGAGATTCTGGCAGTGTCTGTTATTGAAAGGTGTACCTCAGAAGTACATAAACCTTGTGAAGGCTCTTTACTCGAACACTACCAGTCGAGTCGGAGCTTATGGCGAACTGTTATCTGCTTTTGCAACCTGAAGTGGTGTCTAAGAACTAATTCTTTCTTCCTGCGTATATGTGCCTGGTCCTACGTTGTAGCTGACTGACTGACCAGCCAGAATTGTGTCGAGTGTGGTGGCTAAGTATATGTGACGTACGTCCCAGGCAATTCAGTCGTGGAAGAGAAAACTAAGGTGTCTAAGACCGTGTGTTACCTATCATTAGCCATCACCCATCTATGAAATCGTTGGCTGCCGAAATGATTCATGTTGCTAGATGCAGATTACTTGGTTAGGGTCCGCGCGATAACCGCGATCAGTAGTTGGAGACAGCGTCAGTCATCATCAACGTAGATACCTGATATATGCATTTGCCAATTTGCCACATCACATTAACACGACGACATAAAAACAACAAAAGGGGTCTAAATAATCCGATATCGATGATGATGGTGAAAAAGACTGAACATTTGGAATATTGTTCAAAAAGGTATTTTTGGAGGAATAGTGGAAATCAAGATCTACAGCCAATGAATATTTGTAACCTCATCAACCGGTTTATCCCCTTTAGCTAGTACTCTATACTTAACCTCAGCATTGATGTTTGGTGGTATGACTCCGAATCAATCATAGTTGCATTCACTTTATCTTCCGTTAGGTCTTGAGTCCCAATATTCCCCTGTATATACATTTTCACTCCGTCTTCTCCAACCAGGCCCCCAATTGCCCTGATACGGCCGAGGGTGGGGAGAGTCAACTCTCGCTTTCGAAACGCTCTCACATGGCCCGCGTATACAGCCACTGCCAGAGAAGTCCTACTCAATGCCTTCTCGTGGCGGGGGTGTTGTTTACGAAATTGAGAGAACGAAAAGCGAATGTCCGGTGCTTTCACCGGCTTGGTGGACATGAAGAGTTCACCTAAGAGAGTTGGAAAACCCTGATTCCAAACCAATGATACATATGTGCTCCAGGATTCTGAAGGAGCAAACGGTGTATGAACCTATTGTTGGCCACCGGCTACCATGGGACTGCATCTCCTGATTTTGCTCCACTGCCTTGTGGATCAGACTTTTAGGTCGAATGGCTCCGAGTGTGACCCCCTAAGAAAACCACCTGCTTTGGTTCGGGCACCCGAACAGTATCATAGCGCACACACAAACCATGTGACTTGTGTTGCCCATATGTATTCGGTGCCCCTTTGTACCAATATTTATTTGTTCAAATAACTAAAATCTAACCATCTCAATGCATGGTAATTTCAATTACTATTGCTACTGCATTATTTCAACTCCTTCGCCATTCATTTTGTTTATTTCATCTTGTCATGCTAATGTCACATGATAAATTGGTCTATACGTTGATTAATACCATTTGAGTTGGCTATCTGTTTGTATAAGTCTTAAAATTGAAATTGCATCCAATCCTAATAGAAACGTATAATGCATAATTTCGAAGTGCGCGTCATGTATGTCGTTAAAGCTCAGTATAATGTTATCTCGATGGATTGTGGCCTATTTAGTTGTTTTTCATTCTCCTCTGCTGATGTGAATTATAGCAGCTTGTGTCTAAATTTTACCTTCTGTATAATGTCTATCCAAACGGTTTTTCATTTTCACTGTGTTTATATAAAATAGTATTCAGTAGATTAAGAAAAGTAATGAGTATAATAAATTTATTTGTTCTCCACTTGTCCATCTTACAAGCTAGATAACTGAAACATAGTAAGTAAATTATTCATTAGGTACTGTTTTTTCGCTTACCGTATTTAATTTGTTCTAATTTGATCCTTTATCCAAACACTACAAGATAAATCAAAATGGATACATTTCGTATAAGTGTACTGATTACCATAACCAATGGTGATTACAGTACCAGTGTTTGACTGAGTCTTGAAGACCATCTAGTAATTATAAAAAGATATCGATCCAACAAATCTTGATCAAAAATATTTTGAGACGAAAACCGCTTCTCCGATGTCATTCGCTGGCAATATTGCGTACAATACTATTCACAATAAAGTACATTAAACCTATACTTAATAAGGAAGTTGATTAAACATAGGCTACATCTCAATGCATATTCTTCAATCCACTGGAAGCACTAGTAAAGTTACCATTAAGTATCAAGGTGTAACCCATTCACACCATTTCGTTGTAGCAACATTTAATTAATACTACCATATACACCGAAATAAATTCAGCTGATAACTATTTGTTATCTGAGGCGCTTCAGTGTCATGCTAATTATGATGATAAAATAGTTCTTATCAATTTGTTTCATATAATATTTCTTTAAATATCCTCAAATGTTTTGTTTCCTCGTTTTTTTTTTGTTTGCTCAGGGTTTTGATCTCGTAGCTAATCGATATGTTGCTTGTAAAATTCATCAGCTTAATCCTTCTTGGCCTAAAGATAAAAAAGATAACTACATTAAGTAAGTGAATATATATATATATATATATATATATATATATATATATATATATATATATATATATATACAGATGAATATTATTGTTTACTTTCGCACCTAAACTCCCACAAAGTCGTTCACATGAATTAGTACTTGGTAGATAGGCAATATTATGACTTTTATTTTTTACCAGGCTTATGGGTCCTGTAATAAATTTAAAAATCCTGTAGAAACGTTTAGTACTCTGTCGTTTAGATGTGAACTAATGAATCTGTTTAAAACAATGAATCATAGAATTGATTTGATCATACAGTTGATTCAGTTCAGTTGAAATCCGTTTTAAAAGATCGATCAAGCTAGTTGACATAGCATGTTATGGAAATTAAATCAATCATTATTCTTTTTGGGACTAAAATATCATTGAACTCAAACATTCACATGTTTCAAAGTTAAGTAAGAATTTCCTGATGAATACGAACAAACAATAATAATTCGAACTCATTTTCTGTAATAATCACAAACGTGTTTCTCAACAATAATGACTGTCAGGACTCAGTAGCTAAGTGGATAACGCGATGGCGTTTGAAGCAAACGTTACTGATTCCGAGTCCCAGAGTGAACATCGACTCTGAGATGCAGGTACATCCGGCTGACGAGTTCCAAATAGGACGAAACGTGCGTCTTGGGTTCCACTGTTAGCCATCTTTGCTTATAATACTTGTAAATTAAGGCAATATCGAGGTAATATGCGAAGTATGCACACATGCCAATAGGAGACTGATCAATTGCAGTCCTAAACAACAATGAGAAGATTCAAGTAAAACAGTACCAAGTAAATTAATGATGACTATGATTTTTGTATTCCCAAAATGCGTTAGAAATTGTGTTCATATAGATGTTTGACGACAGCTTATGTCATATCAAATGGATCTACTCTTGTCAGTGGGAAAAGTATTTCACACCTTGATAACAGTACTAGTTAGGTTGTTTATCTGGTTTCTCATTGCATCGTTCACAATATTTTGTTGATCATTAGATCTACCTCCAGTTCCTTTGACTAGTGCTAAGATTTTCAGTAGTGATGGTCTTTTTACTCTCCATTTTTCATTGCTGCTCATGACACCACAATAGTTTATGGTAGAAATAATTGTGAAAAATCCAACGCACAAATCTTGATCCAAGAACGTTTTAAGTTCTGGTTAATCGTTTTCATGTAAAAATTTAACTGAAAGGCTTAGTATGGTATTATAGTATATCTATGTATCTCGAATATTGTAAGCAGGATTTCTCACATCGTCAACATGGACATTTTAATATTAAAATAGTAATATTCTGGTCACTGTTAACTAATAACCGAGTATTTCAACAAAATGTCGTGTTTTTCCTTTTCCGAAACATTTTCTACTTTTCGATTTTTGAATCAATCGTTTTTAGCAGAGTTGTGAAAAACAATTGTTGGACATTAATTTCGTGTATTCCAAGTTGTAGACAGTGCTTCAATTTTTACCAGTAATTGTATCATAATGCTTTTCTGTTTTCCTCGTCGGTTATTCCTCATACTGTAGCTCAAAACTTGACCAACTTCATATATATATATATATATATATATATATATATATATATATATATATATATATATATATATATATATATATAATGTGAATTTTCATGTGTTTCTTGGCTCCGGTTTATCGCGCGATCTTTCTAACGATCGTCAATATAGTCCAAATATTCCGTATTTTACATTTCTGTCTCCTCTAATATTATTTTGCTTGAACTAGAACACTTTTTTTGTCCATATGGGGTTGTGGAGATTGTTGAATTTCTTTGAAATCATGAACTGATTGATGTTATATTTTTATTGTTTTAGTTAATTCTAATAAGGCAGTCAGCCGTTAGTGACGTAGGGGTACCTTTAGTTTCATATTTAGTATTTGTTATTGTTTAAACCATTTTTTTTAAGTGATGAAATTTGACGTTAACACCAAACGCATCTATTTATCAATAGACAAGTTTTGTTTTTTATCTGCTTATTCCTATAGATTTTCTCTTTGCCGTTTAATATTCGCAAGCTATTTTAGAGTCAGTGGTTACTTAATTTTATTTGAGTAATATAATGTTAACTAATTTCTTTTTCTGAAAATAATCGAATATTTTTTATAGGCATGCGTTAAGAGAGATTGAGATTCACAAAACGTTACATCATCCGAGGATAGTAAAAGTATTCGATGTGTTTGATATCGATCATGATGCGTAAGTTTAATTGTCAATTTTCATATCTTAACATTGCATACACGAAAGCTTATTAATTATCGTTTCCCGTTTTTATACTAAGAGGAACGTGTATCCTACATTCGATTGATAGTCACTATTTCATACAATCTAAATTGCGGTGCTGGGCCTCGGTTGGTAATAAATTCAAAACAAAGCACATAATTTGATAAAAAATTTGTTTAGTGTACATTAACTCATACTGGATTACAATCACATTTGGCATGGGCACTATGCCACAGAGAAAACCTTGTCAAATTAATACCGCCTACTAAAACATGAATCTTGTCCAATATAAGCCTTAAGTCAGCTTGACTTCATAATGAAGTCGGTAAATAATAATTGGTGTGGGAAATATAATATGAGATTTTAAAGTTCAAATAAATGTGTAGATTATCCAATTTGAAATATTCTTCATAAAATAATATTTACTTCGTATAAGCATTTGAAATTGAACATATTAGCTTAAAGCAGTTCAACTGAAATTTCTGTGATTTCACAGTTAAGGGAATCAAAGGCTTTTCTAAAAAATTAAATAAAGTTCTCGTACAACTACCCGAAGCCAGCGTCTACAACACAAAAAGCGGCAACAAAATAAGTGATCATAAAAATATGGAAATAATTTCGAAAATGGAATGGAGACTGTGAAATAGTAATTACTGCTGTATACAAGATATTTAAAAACGTTGAAAAAACCAAAGGTAGGGAATTATGGAATATTATTTTGAAAATTTTGGCTTACATCAACTAAAATAATCTGTTGGGATTCTTCATCAGACCTCAAATAGCTTGTGCTAAACTTTCTTAAATAATTCATATCTCCAGTTATTGATAGTATAGATCCGCGGTGTCTACTGATTTACACTTTCTTATTCATATTCCAACTTGCTTTTGTTCTGACCAGCATCCTACACCTAAGTTAATGGTAACTGTCTTTGTATTATATTCTAGCCAATTTTCAAACTTAATATGCTCTGTGTGAACGTTCATCTCCACATACCCACTTTATTCACCTTTAATACATCACAACGGCTGCTTCATGAAGGTCTTGTTATGTTTTCGTGTAAATATATCCTGTGTCAGATTCACTTGAATAACACATCCGAGGTCTATTTAAGTCAGAAGATTGTCGTGGTTACTCGGAAATATTTATAAGTATTTATCAAGTATACATGTAGTTCTATAATTGATCATAATTAACTCGACTTTATCTTACATTCAAGATCATAAGACAAACAAAAGTCAATTGTAAACCAGTCAAACGTAAAAATGATGGGTGTTCATCTTGTTGTGCTGATGAGGTATGGCAACTTGGGCCGATGCACATATGTGCCTGGTCCTACGTTGTAGCTGACTGACTAACTAAAAACGGCTGTCCATGTAAAACACGTTACAACCAAAAGAGCATAGTCATTTTGTCGATAATTAATTTAACCAATGATATACCAGTAAAGGGGATGAACCACTTACTTACTTACTTACGCCTGTTACTCCTCATGAAGGAGCATAGGCCGCTCACCAGCATTCTCCATCCAACCCTGTCCTGGGCAATCCTTTCTAGCTCCGTCCAGTTGTAATTCATCGTTTTCATATCTGCTTCTATTATCCGACGCAATGTGTTCTTTGGCCTTCCTCTTTTTCGCTTCCCTTCAGGATTCCAAGTTAGCGCTTGCCTCGTGATGCAGTTTGACGATTTTCGTAATGTATGTCCTATCCATTTCCATCGTCTTTTCCTAATTTCTTCTTCAGCTGGAAGTTGGTTTGTTCTCTCCCACAGAAGGCTATTGCTGATGGTATCCGGCCAATGGATGTTGAGTATCTTGCGTAGACAGCTATTTATAAATACTTGTATTTTCTTGATTGTGGTTGTTGTAGTTCTCCAAGTTTCAGCTCCATACAGTAGAACTGCCTTGACGTTGGTATTGAAGATTTTCACTTTGATATTGGTTGAAAGTTGTTTTGAGTTCCATATGTTCTTTAACTGTAGGAATGCTGTCCTTGCTTTGCCAATCCTTGCCTTTACGTCTGCATCTGAACCTCCTTGTTCATCGATGATGCTTCCTAGGTATGTGAAGGACTCTACATTTTCCAGAGTTTCGCCATCAAGAGTGATTGGATTGTTGTTTTCCGCTTTGAATTTGAGGACTTTGGTTTTCCCTTTGTGTATACTGAGGCCTACTGATGCAGAGACTGCTGCTACACTGGCTGTCTTCATCTGCATCTGTTCGTGTGTACGTGATAGGAGGGCTAGGTCATCTGCGAAGTTCAAATCGTCTAATTGATTTCGAGCTGTCCATTGAATTCCGTGTTTTCCTTCAGATGTCGAGGTCTTCATAATCCAGTCGACCACCAGAAGAAAGAGGAAGGGAGAGAGTAAACAGCCTTGTCTGACTCCGGTCCTTACTTGGAATGCATCTGTCAGCTGTCCTCCATGCACGACTTTGCACTGTAGTCCGTCGTATGAGTTCCGGATAATGTTGACAATCTTCTCAGGAACTCCATAGTGTCGAAGAAGTTTCCATAATTTCCTCCTATCTACACTGTCGAATGCTTTCTCATAATCAACGAAGTTGATGTATAGTGATGAGTTCCACTCAACTAATTGTTCGACGATGATCCGTAGTGTTGCAATTTGGTCTGTGCATGATCGATCCTTACGGAATCCAGCTTGTTGATCTCGAAGTTGGGCGTCTACTGCATCTTTCATCCGGTTCAGCAACACTCTGTGGAAGACCTTCCCTGGTATTGACAGCAGTGTAATGCCTCTATAGTTTTCACATTTGCTCAGATCTCCTTTCTTTGGAATCTTGACGAGGTGCCCTTCTTTCCAGTCCATCGGCACTTGTTCCTCCTCCCAAATCCTTTTGAATAGAAGGTAAAGCATGTTTGTAGTTGCTTCGATGTCTGACTTCAGTGTTTCAGCTGGTATGTTGTCCGGACCCGCTGCTTTCCCGTTCTTGATTTGTCTGACGGCCATTCTGATTTATTCCTTCGTTGGTGGGTTGGCGTCTATGAGAAGATCTGCGTGTGCCGCTTCGATGTCCGGTGGATTCATCGGAGCCGGCCTATTCAGGAGTTCCTCGAAGTATTCTACCCATCTGTTCCGCTGTTGTTGAATTTCGGTGATTGGCTTGCCTTCTTTGTCTTTGACCGGTCTCTCTGGTTTACTGTATTTCCCTGCTAGTTTCTTCGTTGTATCGTGAAGCTGTTTCATATTTCCTTCTCTAGCAGCTTTCTCTGCCGTCGTTGCTAGTTCTTCCACGTATTTCTTCTTGTCAGCTCTAATGCTTCTCTTCACTTGTTTGTTTGCTTTTATGTATTCAGCTTGTGCTTGGACTTTCTCTGCTCGTGTTCGGCTGTTGTTAATTGCTGCCTTCTTGTTCTTCATTTCTTTGATCTTGTCCAGTGTTTCTGTAGAGATCCATTCCTTATGATGGTATTTCTTTAGACCCAGAACCTCTTGACACATTAAAGTTAATGCTTCCTTGACGCCTTTCCAGTTGTCCTCCATACTAGTCTCTTCTTCCTTCCGTAGATCTTGTAAGGCTTGGAACCTGTTGTTGAGAGCTATCTTGAATTCATTGAGTTTGTCAGTATCTAGAAGGAAGGCTGTATTGAACCTTTGTATTGCTGTTTGTCCACTTGTCCAGTTCTTTTTAAGCCTCAGTTTTAAATTGGCCACAACTAGGTGGTGATCTGAAGCTACGTCAGCGCCTCTCCTGGTTCTCACATCTTCCATTGTCCTTCGGAATTTTTGTTGATGCAAATATGATCTATTTGGTTCTCAAAGGGGATGAACCATGATTACTAATAAGTAATATAGTCATAAAATAAGAATTTCACACTGTGGTTTATTTAAATGACCAACTTTCAACTGTGATGCTAACTAATATTATCCACTCTCTGTGTTTTATTTAAGAACTGAGGTTCTTTGAGAAATATTAATACTAGTAGTCTCAAAGTTCGGGTCATGTACATAATTTCCATTCTGAATTGATTGATCACTGAGTAGTGACCAATTTCATATACCTCAAATTCTTAGTATTGATCGCATCCTATCGATCAAGTTGCGATATAACCACTAGTCTAAGTGACGACTTCTTGTGCAATATATTAAGATGCAAGGTGATGGTTGTAGGTAGTCGTCCAAAAACTCTGAAAATAGGTTTCGTGCCACATCCCAACATAATGTACACGATCTCGAGTCACGCAGACTAGTGGTACACTACAAACTGGTTGATAGAATCCGATCACCAAGATGGACTTGAGATACATGAACTTGGTCACTACCCAATAATCTATCACATGGTTATTGCATCTCAGTCCTACAGGTCAGTCATGGCCCGAACAGCTAGGTGGTAACGTCTCTGACTGTAAAGCTGGGTGACACGGGGTCAAATCTTCCAGGTAGCATTAGATACACTTTGCTAACGAGTACCATATGTCACAAAACCTATGCTCAGGGTTTCTTGTTGACTACCTCTGACCATTACCTTATGATTTTCATTCATCTCGCGTTCAGTATACAAATATGTCATTCAGTTTGCTTATTCCTGAAATCATCACATTCTTAGACTCTCTTCTTTCGTATATTTTTGGTTCTGTAGATTTTGTACTGTACTTGAATACAGTGAAGGTAATGACTTAGATTTCTTTCTTAAACAAAACAAAAGTATTCCGGAACGTGAAGCCAAGTCGATTATATGCCAAGTGGTTTCTGCTTTGAAATATTTAAATGAACGTAAACCTCCTGTAATTCATTATGACTTGAAACCAGGTATGTACAGTTGTAAATTTGCGCTTACCTTATGATTATTTTTTCCGTTCTGTAATGTATATTAAAACGCTATGATTTGAAAAGCACTTTAATTTTCTAAATAATTGCGCAGTTAGTTTCACTACCATCTTCTCTTACATATGGATTTCACTGCTAGCTGTTATCTATCTCTGGAATCCTCGTGACCAAATGTCAATGTCGAGGCAGTCAGAACAGGATCTAAATCTATCAAAAGAGACTGATCAATTACAGTCTTTAAACGTCAACGGGAAGATTAGAAAAAGCAATACAGATTAATTCTGGATGAATTATTATCGAAAGACAGATCAACTAGCCAATAAAATAAGTATTTCTTCCATCAGAATAACATTTTTATGTATAAAGTATTAAGCACCGAGTTGACGCTGTAGTCTTCTTTCTATAAACAAGTGAGATTTATGTGTTTGTTACACGTATTCAAACTAACACATCTTCGTTTATATGAGACGCAAATACAGAATAAGTCACAGTGCTTCCTTCTACGCTTATGATTATTTGTATCTTTTTCATCAAAATGCTTCCAAGCAAAACGAAACATTGTGATGAATTTCCGTAATGGTTATATTGTGCGTGATTTTACTTACTACTTTACTAACTCATTACAGGTAATATTTTACTGGGTTCCGGCCAAGTTGCTGGTGAAATCAAAATCACGGATTTTGGTTTAAGTAAACTTATGACAGAAGATAAATACAATCCAGAGACTGGAATGGATTTAACCTCCCAAGGAGCAGGCACTTATTGGTACTTACCACCGGAATGTTTTGAGACAGGGCGGGAACCTCCAAAAATATCTTCAAAAGTTGATATATGGTCTGTTGGTGTAATTTTCTTTCAGTGTTTGTTTGGAAAAAAAGTTAGTTTTCTGTAATTTCCCACTTATTTTCAACAAGTTATTATTGTTCTTAAAAACTAATTAATTATTTTACATTTATACTGCCTACCTTTTCTCTAACTACTACATTTTAGGTACAGCATTATCTTTCCATCGGATAACTTAGCTTGAAGAAATGGTCAGTTGCCAAACAGTTGAAGGCCAAGAAAGACTCGATAGCTAAACAGAAAAGTTTTAAAATTGAGTTAAAACTCCCATAAACCACGTATTTAAGTATAGCCATTTATTTACTAGTAATGATAAGCCTTGGAATAAATCCTTGCAGTCCTACTGTTTAATTGGTGACCAATCATATCGATATAACATAGTTATAGCAGCGATATCATTGAATAATCATCTCTAAGTCGCTAGTCGATCGAAGTTGAGTTCTGATAATCGTCTAATGTGTCGTATTTGTCACGAAACGGGATGCGATTCTCTTCCTCGAAATGCAAAATGTTGCTTCAGGATTGGGTTACATCGACACCCGAACTAGTGATAGGGAGTGAAGTAGTTGAGTGTGTCGACCGCTTCACTTATCTTGGAAGTCTCATCAGCCCTTGTGGTCTGGTTTGTGACGAAATCTCAGCATGGATACAGAAGGCTCGACTAGCTTTTGCCAACTTGCGTCATTTATGGCGTAGGCGAGATATCCGTCTATCAACCAAAGGACGGGTTTACTGCGCAGCAGTACGTCCCGTCCTACTTTATGGCAGTGAAACATGGCCGGTAAGAGTAGAGGATATTCGTAGGTTACTAGTATTCGATCATAGGTGTCTTCGAAACATTGCTCGTATATCATGGGACCATCGAGTAAGTAATGCAGTTGTTAGGAAACGGGTACTAGGTAAGGATGGAAAATCAATTGGTGAAGTAGTGAAACTTCATCAGTTGAGATGGCTGGGACACGTGTTACGTATGCTCAACGACCGACTGCCTCGACGTGCGATGTTCAGTGGTATAGGAATAGGTTGGAAGAAAGCTAGGGGCGGCCAGACCAAAACATGGCACAAGTCCATGAAGTCACTGACAAGTGGTCTGAGTCATGTTGATAGGTGTAGACTACCTGGTTGGGGACCGCGAGATGATAGCAACCGATGGTTAGAGACCCTGAATGACATGGCTCAAAATCGTTTGCATTGGCGAAGGTGCATCCACTCTTTGTGTTCTCCCAAATTCTAATCTTCTGAATTCTTCATGTCCCCTTCTTTTTTCGTCTTTCTAAATTTATTTCACTGAATTATACTCTTTAAATAACATTTCCAAACCCTAATCTTCCCGATCACTGCTTACACTCTTGCTACCTCCACCACAATGGGATTTGAATCGACAACTGCATCTCTGTGTTAAGGTGGTGTGGCAACTCGAACTGATGTACGTACGTACGAAGTTCTACGTTGTTACTGACTGACTGGTTTGTCACGAAAATTGAAGTTCCTCAGGGTTTTTTCCCATATGATGCATTGCTGAGAAGTCCCAAATCAGAATGAATCAATTGTCAGGTGATTTCTGGTTTATTCATTTCACGCCATTCCATGATGAGAGAACCACTTTTTCTTTTTAATTTTGATATTGAAGTAGTATTACTGGTATATTAAGCAATAGATACATTTTCGTTTGTTTTTTTCCAATATATAGCCATTCGGTCATAATATGTCCCAAGCTGATATTTTGCACGAAAATACAATTCTCCATGCACGATCCATTGTATTCCCTTCCACTACAAAAGTTAGCGATGGCGCAAAAGTAAGCCTGTTTTACTCACTTACTGTAGAATTTCTTGTGTTGAATTCACATGCTTAGCTCACTTTCGTTTTAGTTAGTAGTACGTCACATAAGTCATTCATCCTTGTCTTTTACTTCATTGTTTGTTTTCTGTGTATTAGATAACCAAATCTTGATGCACTTGGTAACTTACAAGATGTTTCCGATTATGATCTATTACCATTCATTAGGATAGATCTGCTTAAATTTCCGTGCAATATCTGTTCGCGACCATCAGAAGAATACTATGACAAATCATTCTCCATTAACCAGAGTTTTTTATCTCTCAAATTAGTGTTAACAAAGTTAAATTTATCAATCCATAGGATTTAACTTAAATCTGTAGACCAACATATACAGTACACAAAAAACAATTCATCTTTTTTTCATCAGGAATACAGTCAAAGCACAGCCTAAAGTTTAGTGATTATGATTTGGTTATTTTTTTAAATTCACTGATATTTTATTGGTAATAGATAGACTGAGTAACAATATTGTTCGAGACAATTTTTTATCTCATTAATCTGGCGTTTTGTACACTAGTTATATACAACTTCGTCAAATAATTCTGTGCTTAGGCAAGCAATATTATCACAAATGACCGATTTAAAATTTGCCTCATCTCTTATCAAAGTTCACACCCAGTATTTGAAGTTGTCTCATGATACATTTTCTCATTAGTAAATTGTGTTCAAAATATTCTTACAAGTTTTTTTTCTTTTTTGTTAGTTAATTCACTGATTTCATTTTTTTTATTGATTTAGGAATTTATTCGAAAGTGTTGTACGTATAGAAAAGATCTCCGACCGGATGTCTTTCAACTTAGCAACGATGATTATCTTAAGCCTAAAGCTCAACTCAAGTAAGTATTCCCTTGAATGCCTTTAATATACACATATAATATTACAATTGTACTATCAATCATTTTTATTGATTATGTTCAACACCATATAGAACTTCATTCATATGTGTAATGTGTATAACACCCATAGTTTAGAATTGCTCATTTGCTCTATTCGTATTTTCCCCAGTCATATATTTTATTGAATACAATCAATTCCTTCCATCTATTTGGCTATCATGATTAGCGTGATTTATTTTGACAGTCTTCAGCAGGATTACATAAATTTCAATTGACCTGTTCTTTCCGAACGGTTTCAGCAAGTTGAATGAGATCATTATCTTTCACACAACTACTTAGCTTACTATATCAATTCGTTAAGTTACTTTTATATGAAGGATATAGTACGTATCAATGTCAATGCTGGACTTGATAGTTTTGAATAAACTAAGCACTGTTATAATCCTAATGAGCAGAAAAATTGTATTTCTGACGTTTCGTGACTTAATGTATGCCACTTCTTCAGAGTGAGTAAATAACCGCATTAAATTAACATAAGTTTGAATAGTACATACATAATAATAATCTTTTCTTTATTAATACTCAGCTTTGTCTTCACTAATTTTCTGTGTAAGAATCCTATTACCGTGCAGTCAACAATGTCCCTGAACACTAGTAAAATATTACTATTTAGGAGGATGTTACTATTGTCTAAATTGTCTGAAACAATTTAAGTATACTGATTATCATTTTGAGTATAAAGAGCTCAAGTGGTTCAGTTAAGTTGATATAGCGACTAGCGTTGCTTTTTTCAAATGTTTGTGTTCAACAGAAACACGTCAGTTTTACATCTGTTGTGCATTATAAACCATCTCACAGTAAGATTTTTTGTCTTGACCTACTTCATCTCCATTTTTCAGACATTATCTCGATACATCTACACTCCCTGGTCCTGTCGGTGTCCCACTAAATATGGCTACTCCCCCGCCTTCAACTTGTATTGATCCCTCTATCCCCACTCCTGGTAGCAACCAGTGTATAATATCTGGATTTCCAACAAACAATCCTGGAAATTGCGCTGCCCAACCTCACCCACAACATATCCTTCAACATCAACAGCAGGCCACATCTTTCTCCGTGCTACAGAATCAGGAAGCTACTCCATCATCACAGCCTTCAACCTTGCCACCACCAAATCAGACAGATTTTATAACAAGACGTTGTATTAGTTAAGCAATAACTGAACATTATAAAGCGAATATTACACTTCATCTTTGTTTAACTAATACAACGTCTTACCATAAAAGTTTTCTGATTTGTGAGAATATCGAGTCATTTCATCGCAATATTAGCGATCAGCGATGCTGCTCCTTGCAATAGTTTAGACTATGATCATTGCTCTCTGTCTCTCTGTGTGTATTGTCAATTTCTTTTCAATGTTGAAGCGTAATAGTCTTTCATATTCCCAATAGGAAAGATTATGCTGGAAATCTTAGTAGAATAAACCGCTTTTGTCTCTAACTTATGCGTGATGTTTCAATAGTATTTGAAATGAAGTTTCATAATAATATCTATGTTCGATACCATATGTTTGATTATAACAAGTAATTCCAAGCACAAGATCTACAATATCTCTACAACTTCCCGTATTATATTCATTCAACTTGTAAATAAAAAAAATTTGTATTAAAAAATTTTAAACACTAACTAGCTGTTATTTATCTTCATTCACAAGTGCTTTCAACCAATTTGGCTTTTTTGACATTTTTCCTCATCTTATGTTATACTTGATATATGAATCCGATTGTAGTCGTTTATTCAAAGGACAAAAGGTAGAGAATATGTCAATCGCTGTGATGGTGTTAGTGAATCTTTCTTTATTGTGCAATAGTTAGCTCTGTTATAGGTTTCAAGCTCTTTATAGAAATGATTGAGTACATGTACGAACTTAATGTACGTAATAATTGGGTTTAAATAGTTTTGAAAGATGAAGATTTGTTACAGTATTTACACAGTTATAAAGCAGTTGCTTTAGAAGTTTCTTCTAAATTTTTTATGTATGGCAAATGAATGGAAGGCGTACGTCGATTCCAATGTATACTTTTCCGTTTCGATAATTCCCATTCCTTTTTTACTGTACTGACCGATACAAATTTAAGTTACATTGACATCAAATGATCGCGTTTTGCAATATGATCATATTGAAGTACATTGTACCAAAACGTTAACTGACTAATTCGAAAACCACCAAATGTTTAGAGAAAATGTAGGGAACTGATAACCGAATTCGTTGCATTTCGACCAAATGAATGTTAATGTAAAAATGTTGGCGTTGGTGACTACTAACCTTTGTTCTGCGCTACATGAGTATTAGTAAAGTTCCCTTTTAACTTATAAAGAAACCATAACCTTTTACTAGGGAATTTTGTAAGCTGTTAGAAACAGTGGCTTAATGATTAAAGCCTTCTTTCAACCTATAATTCGCTGGTTCGAACTCCTCTCCACCTATGTCGATTTGGACAGCTGGATATTTGTTGACACACCTCACATCTAAAGTAAGGCTTAAATCTGAGTACACAATCTTATATATGAGTTTCATCCCGACGAAACACGCGGAGGAATTGAGATTTGTTCTCGAATGGAATCTAACACAGTTAATCGTACCAATCGATTTACCTAAAAGAATGAAGATTTGACTCGTATAGCTGATACCAGTACGGAATTTTTCGTCCATTTATTTGTAGTTTATCAGGATTTTAGTCGGCTATGTTTCAATATCTTAAACCTTTCACGCGACCAATTTTCGATAAACTTGTTGAAAACAATCTGTTATTTTGTGAAAGTTAATTGATCCTTTTTCTAAACTAATAAAGTGAACTAACAGCATAAGTAAAAGGGAATCCAAAGCTGAATAGTTCTTAAGAAATATATTTGTATTTGGCTGCCCACTCACTTTCAGATCATATTGGTTTTTCTTAGTTCTTTAATTATCCTAAAGTTATTACTTTGAAAAAAAGATCATTTATTACGATGGAAACTGATTTAAAGAATCTTGTCGCAAATGTATGATACAGCAGATTTTAATGATGAACTTTGAAGTATAAAATGCTTCTGCTTCTCGCAAGACTCAAGAAATTCTTACACCACTAAAGGGATATATTCAAATCTTGGAAAAAAATGTCCCATACTATCATGATTCTCAATGGTACTAGTTTTAGAATAATCAAGATAGCTAAATCTGCTTAACTGAACAATTCAGGGTAATTCTTCATGCTATGAGTATGGAGAACTAGTCGATCAGATCGATATCGTGATTCTATCTAACCTTAAACTGGAGTCAATTATAATATCAATGAAATCGGAACATGAATTCATTTATAAATAAATATGAATTACAATCATTCAAATAGTCATTGAATATGATTAATATTAGAGCTTGGATTATGATAAGGCCAGGTGATAGGTTTTGATTTGATTGTCGATAAATGAGTATGGAGTATTTATTGGTAAATATGGATAGTGAATATTGTCGAATTTCTTAAGATTTAAATTATGTTAATGCCTTGAGAAAATGAAAGCGTTAGAATGTAATGGGGATCGAGAAGAATTTTAAAAGAGGGCGTCTATAAAATGATCTAGTTTTAGTGGGGAATACAGAAAGATTAGAGAAGATTCTTATAAATGTTAAGCCTAACATTCGTTTCTGAGTCAATTCAAGTCGATCATAAATTTCTCATTTCAATTGTCCCACCGTGCTAAGCTTAACTGCAAATATTCGCTAGGTATTGTAGTTAGTTTACTTGCGCAATAAATACATGGTAAGTTATAATTAGTAAGATGTAGTCAACAGATGATTTATGAAACTAGAACAGTATGGATAAAATACTAAGTCGCAAACAAATTGTTACCTATTAGCATTACATCTAAACATATTCATCCACAATCATCCACTCCACAGTTTTAGAAAAAAAATCAAAGCTTTGTTGCTGGCCGTCATCAGTAAGCCATTAAGATTTAATTCGTTACTTTCAGAAGTTGAGCTAGATGAATTGATAGCTTTCTGTAAATATTGTGCTATTGAAAGGTGCACCAAACTAGTACTAAAATTACTTTAGCGTAACAGGAAAATTTATATGAATTGTGAAAAATGTTCCGTCAACTTTACAATCCAATAATCATTTACGTCTTAAGCGAATTTAAATAATGTTTATCTTAATTATTCTGTAAACAAGTATGTCATCAGTAAGCCACACTATTCGCATCAAATCAAGGGTTTTGGATTTTACTACCAGTCATAGTTCAAATGTAATGAAAACTTCTGATCAAAGGATAAGATCAAAAACAATCCACTGAAGGCACAACATATAACAAAGGAGATAAATTAATTATTCTCCAATAGAAACAGCGAGAAAGTATTTTTTAAATAAAAGAATGTTCAGGATTTCTTTCAAACTGCCCTATATGGTTTCATTCATTCAACACTTAGATATATATATTGACTGATGTAATAATTAAAATCTGTTCAGTAATTGAATTATACAGCTTGACTTTGGTACCATTTGCTGGAAGAAATCCAGGTTGTCTAGTTTCTTGTGAATATGCGTTAGTTCTTTCTTGCAACGATAATTATAGGTACGATTTTCTCTGCATGATGTTTGTTAACTTTTCTGAATCATGGTCATGTTTATTGACTACACTGAGACTTGTATCACTTTGATTCTGTCTTTGTAAAGATCAAATTTCCTTCTGCACTTCTAACATCTTATTGGGTTACATCTTTGGGGATTATCGCTGAAGAGGTGCGTATCAGTTACTGCCTTTTCAAGTTCCCAATAGTCTGTCCTCATTAGAACTTTCTTCACCGTTTGTATTCTTAGTTACCATAGACCGAATCGAACTAAACCTTAAGATAAAACAAAAAAAATCATGTTATAAAGTCTATCAGGATTGTGTTGTTTTCCGTCAGTTATCAACACCGTAGGACGTACAACATTTTTATAGATCTCGTGACATGATTTATTTGGTATTTGATAATATGATGGTGTTAAAACAGAAGTGGCTATTTGGACACGGGAATAAGAAAATTTCCTGTGGCTGATTTACATCTGTAGAATCACTGAAATCCAGTGTTGTCAGATGTCTTCAATAATTCCTTGGAAGAGTCAGAAAAAATTCTAAAATTACTTCGACCAGTTAATGCTCTTAGGAAACTGTTAATAGAAATCTTTACGATGTTTTATTGTTCTATTCATACCCTGATCAGACAACTACCTATTTTAGCATACTTTCGGACAGCTTCTAGTATCTTACTATCATGTGAAGTCCTATAAATACCTTTGTATTTTGTATATAATCGAATCTCGAAGTACAGAATCTTCTAAATATGTATAATCGGTGGCAAACCTGGCCTGAATATTAATATTGAAGTATTCATTGTCAAACAACGATTCTTGAAAAGAACGAAAAATTCTTAAAGTATTAACAATGATAAATTAATCTTCAGATGAAATTACTGCGGTATCCACTAATGAAATTAAATTCTAGAAGGGTAAATAGTTTATTACAACTAACCCACAAACGGTAAATCATAATAACAGATAACATTTACCATTATTCCAATATCTTAATTAGTATATAATGTTGATCTTACATTAAATGTGGATTAAGCAGCTAGATATGATAATATATGTTGATACCCTTATTCGATTAAAATGAATTATTGTAAACTCATTTTGTTTGTCCAACTATTTTGAAATAATGTGAAAATTTATATCATTTACATGTCTATCCCTCTATCAATCAAAAAAGGTTACTAATTAACATGCTTATTTAACCAATCAAAATTATTCACTTTATCATCTGAGTATATATTTGATGAACTGGTAAATACCAGTCAATTGTGAAGTGGTTCTTTTACTCCATGGAAGAAACACAACTATCTAATGACTTTAATTTTACATCAAAAACTATCACAACTGAAGTTGTAGATGAATATGGCAGTTCAATCGTTTCAACTATTAAAACAAAAAAACGTCGTTCTGGAAAATATTGTTTACATTATTTAAAAATAATCCTCAAAAATATTGGCTTAACACTATTATTAATTGCATACCTATGTGCTGGAGGTTTTATATTTCGTTCACTTGAAATATACAATGAAGCGCAAGATTGTTTTCAACGTCAGAGTAGTTATTTGAAGAAACTCAATTCAACTACACTCAGGGTCATTGGCACGATAAAATCAATTGATTCTGGTAATGTGGATAATACACAGACATTAGATGAAGTTATTCTGAGTATACTCAATGATTATGCAAATGATTTATTTGCGTTAGACGTGAAACCGTCAACAAATTGTACAGCTATATTGGATACACCAGATGGTTCAAAATGGAATTTAGTTAATTCAATATTTTTCTGTGTAACGGTTATAACAACTATAGGTAAGTGAAAATAATGAAGAATATTTCTCTTGAAAGAAAACTAGCAGATTACTGTTGTATTGTTTTAAAACTTTCTAATATCGAATAATCCCAACTGATTTCAAGACTACCTAATGGATATGATAATACATAAGTTCGGCAGAGAGTGTTTGGATGTCTGAAGTAATAGATATTAGTTTCCAGTCTTATTAAGAACAACAATAGTACGTTTCAGGTGCACCCAAATGATAAGTCACAAACAGAAGAATATATGTATTTGGACTCTACTGTAGAGAATTATCCAAAATATAACTGATGGTATTCGGGTTCTATCGTAATGGGCATTAACTCTTCAAATCACTGAATCAAAATATTTGTTTTACTAAAAAGAAATTGACTGTTATTTTTGCCTTTTACCTTTATAAATATTCCAACAAATTAAAAATAACAGGGTATGCGTTTAAGAAAATCGACTTTTTAAGCAGAAAATTCTAAGACCAGTGCTTCTAGGTTTTCAGTGGTGGTCTAACACTGGTTGATCTATGATGGTAGTCAAAAACTCAACAATCTCCACAACCCCATACTCATAATTGCCCTATGCTCACTAGTGACTAGCTTCGAGAGGTAATTCTCGAAGTTTTAGTGAGAAGCCGTGACTAGTGGAGCTAATCCGTGTCAGGTAGAGACAGGTTTCTACCTCAGTACAATAGAAGGTAGTCGCGCGATTTCGCGGACTGGTTGAAGTTAGACATTAACAGCGCTGGATGCCGACCCAGCGGTCTAGAAGTTAAGCGTTCTAGCGCGAGAACGAAGATCCTGGGTTCAAATCCCACCTGCGGGGTCGTGAAGGCTTACTGCTGAGTCCCGTGCTAGGACGAAACGACCGTCTAGTGCTCCCAGGCTTTTAATGGTGGTCTAACACTGGTCAATTCCTGATCTCAATCAAAAACTCAGCAATCTCCGCAACTTCATAGTGACTACTCTATCGGTTTTTTAAAAGAAATTTTCAGTATTTCATCTAGTGTCAATATATTCTTAGGTTTTATGGTATTAGTCATTCGAATCCTAATGAAATATTTTAACTGTTTGCTTACTCTTTTTTGAGAGCCTACATTCTCATCATAAGTTTAATGATTCATATTGGGTCAGAAAATACAAAAAGTAGCCTACCCACAGGTACATAACTTTTTTTAAGTCTTTATTTTCAATCTGAACATTGTGTTTTTTGTTAAGTATAGTTGAAAAAATCCCCACCAAAACGTATGGTCTTTCACCAACTTCTTATATTTGATTGAGGGCTGTCAATCAAAATAAAAAGTTGTGATTTTCTAATTTAAATGAATCCATTTATTAATTGACTATTGTCCTGATATTCAACAAATGAATTCACTGAGTCTTAACATTCACTCATCAAATCAGTTCAAAATATTTATCCGAGTTAACACTTCTTCTACTCACATAATTATCTGGGTTGCCAGTTTTTCGAATTATGCAATTATTATATTTGTTTTCCTATCAGTGATCTGTTTCGACTAACTGATGGAATTTAATAACCTTCCTGTTTACTGATGTACTATTATTAAATGCTTACAACTTATTGTAATTTTAAATATTGTTAAACTCAAGTGGAGATGCTGTAGTAGAATTCAGTATCTGTGTTTTGTCACCTTTGTTACTTGCGTTCAAATGTTACTAATCTTACCCGATGGAAATCGAAGCCTGGTAGCTCAGTAGATAATGTGTTAGTGTATGAAGCAATAGTTACTGGATTCGGATCTCAGTGTAAACGTTGACACTGTGAAATAGATGCATTCAACTGATGAGCCATCAGTTTCTGACAAGAAATTACTTTCAAATTCTGCCAAATATTCACTTAACTTTTTTCATAAATCCATGTATGTATACATGTGAGATTCATTGTTTTTCAAACATTTATTTGACCCCCTATTCTTATAATATCAGTTTGATTTTTTTAAAAGTTTATTATTGTCACTTTTAACAAAAATCTAAGTAACCGTTTAGTATCAGAAGGGATTTTGTGGACATTATAGTAATTTTATTAGTTGTGGTCATGAGTCAATTGAAGCTAGACCACCACTACCGCGCAGTATAATATCAACAAATCCCTTTCTGATACTAATCAACATATGCTCACTAATGACTGGCTTCAAGAGGTATTTCTTGGAGTTCTGGCGAGAAGCAGTGACCAGTAGGGGTTAAACCGATTCTGTTGTGAGATAGTAACTCACTGAAGACAATGGTAGATGTGTCGCTCAGTTTGGTGGATTAGTTAAAGTTAGACATTAACACCGTTGGATGCCGGTCAGCTCAGTGGTTAGGCGTTCGCGAACGAGACTGGTAAATCCTAGGTTGGAACCTCGCGAGGCGGGATCGTGGATACGCACTGCTGAGGAGTCGCACAACAGGACGAAACGGCCGCCCAGTACTTCCAGGTTTTCCATGGTTGTCTAGCTTCAATTGACTCATGACCATAACTAATAAAATTACTATAATATCCACAAAACCCTTCTGATATAAATAAATTCGTTTACAAACCTTTTTCAATATTAGATTGCATATTGTAATCACCGGAAACATCATTATAGTGTCCGTCAACTAATAAAACGATCAAAGAGGAATCATAAATACAGAAAAACTATGCACAGAATTTTCAAAGTTATACCAGTTTTACTTGTGCTTAGTCCTATTTTTGTTTCAGAAAATCAAATGAAAATAAAGTGACTGATCAAAGTTAATCAATTTTGTTTGGTCTGGTGGTAATTTTTCTTCAATTAATCTTCAACAAAATACCATACATATAAATAATTTTTTCCAGAATATACATGAAGAAGAACTTTAAAGAATTACATTTCACACCTAGTCACTACTAAACATTCAAGTTGTTTACTTGGGAATTTCTAGCATATTCTAGAATTGTATCGTGTTAAGTCGAAAATAAATGAAAACTAGGAGTTTTTTATGGCATGTAAGGAATTTTTATAGAGAATTAACCTCAGTTGAAAAATTGTTAAATGATAATGTATTGAATATTTGTTTTATTCAAGTTCTGAACATCTTAATGATATGAACCAGCCCTCAAATGCCTCGGTACGGCCGAGAGTGGGGAGAGTTTGCTCTCCCTCTCGAAATGCTCTCACATGACCACGTGCATACAACCAATGTAAGGGAAGTTATACTCACTGCCTTATCGCGGCTGAGCTGGAATTCATTCATAAACTGACCGATATTTAGAGATATGAAGCATTGTATTTTGACTAAAAGATTTAAATGTTCTGTTTTGTGTGGGCTGGTTGATGCTTACCATTGAATATCCTAAAACTAGCATGATGTTCTCTCTAGTTTTCTCTATTTTCCACAATAGTCCTTCATTGGATATCAGACCAAAGTTTTTTGTTAGTTAAAACTCATCAACAAGACGTATCTGCACCTTAAGAGAACTGAATCTGTCCGTGAAATTAAAGTCTACATCAGTCAATTTTGTAGTTAAAGACGTTACTGCTGATCCTGTCATTGCTGAAACGTTTTGTTATTGTCTATCGACCTAATAGACTTATGAAAATTGTGAATTCACCTTCGGCATTCGAATCTGATTACAAAAGGATCGCAATCCAAAATATTACTTATGTAAGACCTACTACCTAGACATTTTATGCTCACCTTGTCTGTAGATAACTTACCTTTTAACCAATAGTATTTGAGAAAATTGGTCATAATAATTTGGTTTTTTGAACCGTGAACAGGATTGCTAGGTTTAATCTTTTTTTTCTCTCTCTCTCTTAAGGCTATGGACATATTGCACCAGTTACATTTTGGGGCCGAATAACCTGCATTATTTATGCTATCATTGGTATACCATTAATGCTGATCTATCTAGCTATTATTGGTAATTTACTTGCACAAGGATTTCGTTTGATCTTCTTAAATTTGGTTTGTTGTCGATGTTTCTATGACATAATAAGACGTAAACGTGAACGACGTAGAAAACGTATGCGTCAGTGGGAAGAAAGTCTTCGTGAACATGAAGAAGAAGAGGCTAGACGAAGAGGATTACCATTACCTCCGAAAAAGGTAACAATTTTGATAAAATGAAATATATCCCTTAAATGACTTTATGATATCTTGAATAATGTAATTTTGAGATGATCAGTGAAATTGTTAATTCAATAGGATAATTTTTGGTGATATTTGCTGTTGACGTTGTTGTTTAGGGCGACAATAGAACTATAATAATCAAGCAATTTACCCAAGAAAGGATAACACTGTCAACAGGAGTGCATATTTACAATAGTTTTATCAAGTAGATTTAGTTAATACTATAGTGTGCTTTATATTGGTGATAATCTTTTCAACAAATTTGAGAAGGAAATGTTGCCATATATAAAGTTGTCACCACCTAGTAGAATAATGGTCATATCAATATCTTTAATTTATGGATAACTAAAATGTACACAAATGATATGATTCCCAAAGACTCTGCCTAACAGCCGTATCTTAATTGATTGGAAAGTGAGTGACCTACAAGCTAATTTCTCCCTCGATCCTTTGTGTGCATATTCTGTATAAAAGAATGTTATTTTATTAGATGGAAACTACTCATCTGGCTAGTAGTCTTGTCTTTAATTTCTAGTCACTTGGGGGCCTAAGATAGCAATAAGATCTGGTGAGTAACCATCAATCGGTTACATTAAATCATGGCGTTCATCTATCGATTAGCACTCTATTCATTAATTTTAACAAACAAAAATTTGTTTAAATCAAAGCACAGTGAGTGAGGGTTTATAAAAAGCTTTATGTTTTCCTTGAGTCAAAAATTAAGAATCCGAGTTTCATGAAACCGGACTCAACCATGTGCAATCTGCTCAAGTATTTTGAAGGGGCAGATTGCTGTTGGGATCTGGCAGTTTTAATGTCTACTTTCGATCAGTGCAAGATATTGTGAAACCCTCATCCACGTTCTGTGTTGAGTAATTGTCTTATACCCAACAAGGATAGAACTTCACTGATCACAAATTTTCACTAAACTTCAGGAGTTACATCTTGAAGCTAGTCACCATTGAGGATAGAAATATAAGAAGTGTAATGGATTTGTGGAGTGGAATTTTCAAAAATCGTGAGTTGATTAAAGTTAGACATTAACACCGTCGAATCCCAGCTCAGTGGTCTAGAGGTTAAATGTTTACACACGAGACCAAAAACCGGGGGTTTGATTCCCGCACGCAGGGTTATGGGTGCACACTACTGAATAGTCCCATAATAAAACGAAATGACCGTTCACTGTTTCTAGTTTTTCAATGGTGGGCTATCTGAAATCTGTTCGTGATCTAAACTGCGAAAATTATAGAATCTCCACAAATCCCCTATATCAAGATAATTTATTGATTGGTAGATTATCATTGTTGTTATATGACATTGTGTATGTTAACACGTGAGTAGATCTTTGGTTTCCGCATTCGCCAGTAATTGAATGCCAATTTAATATGTCTGAAGGTTAGGTGTTCGGCACGAAGCCTGATGATATGGATTTCGACTCGATGCGGTCTTCAGTATACACACTATAGGTATTCCATAATTAAATAAAACATTTGTCTAATGCTTCCTAGTTTCCAGTGGTTTTCTGATCAACGTTACTACTTAGTATAAATCACATTTTCAGTTGCAGTTTTACGACTCGGTTCTATTTGCTTATTTTTATTTTTTTGAATACTGACGGGATGCATCTGATATTTTGTGATGTTTAATTTTAAAGGAAATGAATAGATATTTTAAAAGTCCTTTCTCTTTTGTTGTGTACGTATGAATACGATAAACTTAAAAGAGAATAAACTAAGTAACTTGTTTACCACACGAACTTAGAGATGCTACATTCGAGACTAGATGAAATTAATACCTTATTCGACATTGAACAAGCAATATCAATTAATAAGAGTATGATAATAGGTAAGAGATAAATAACAGAGTAAAGTAAAGCGCGATTAAGATCTACAAAAAAGAGAAATGGTCCAAAAACCTAAGCAAAAATGAGAGGGTTTACTTCAATAGGGGCGCACGCGATAAAGATGAATGTGAAAGAAGTGAATTAAAAGGAAATGGTAAACGAGTTAATATAATTTCTGTTTATGTTTACACAAAGAGTTTACTTCATAAGTTGTTTTAATTTGATATAGCCTTACGTTATCGATACTCTTTCTGTCAATTAACTCTAAAAGCAGGTTAATGGCATTACTTTATGGGATGGTAAATCACTCATAGCAAGATCTTAAACTGAATAAGTCCAGTCTAGCTAAAGGTTTGATACATTCCTAACATAATCTGATAATCTTACGTGATTGTAAGTTGTGATTTTTAAAAATGTGTTTGCTTGTGTAGTTAATAAAAGTTTGTTTCATTTAAGAAATAATAAGAACTTGATTGCACATGAATGTGAGCATACTGATATTAATATAATAAAACACATCTTATTACCAACTACGTATATATGTATCAGTCTCACAATCTGATTAAGGAACTTGGAAACAAACAATTTGATCAATATAAATACCAACTGACTAATGTGTGTCCACTGGACTACCGTACATAAATGTGTGGTTTGGCATGTTATATTAAATCATGATAGGGACGCCTGGAATAATTAACTCCAGTTATAGTCATAAAAGGTAGAGGACAGAATTCTTAAGTTAATATCAAGACGTACAATAAGTTACCGCCTGTATTTTCTTCTTATGGGACTTTGTCTATCTCTTAAACTAATAGTTTATAAGAGGCCCTAAAGCTGTTTTCAAACAACAGTGTGGTAATATAATCAAAGGCTTTATTCAAAAAGTGCTAACATTACCATAATTCTTTCTTTATTATAATGCGAGATACAGATACAGCCTACGAGTATCTCATTACATATAAGATTCCAATTCGTAATTTAAATAATAGTAGCTTATCGTTAACCTGAGATCATGAGTTTAAATTCTGAAAGGAAAAACACTGATGGATTTTTTTAAAATACTGAATTATGATCTGACTGCGTCTTGAAAATTCTTCCTGACTTGTATTGTTTGCTTGTAAGGGATTGTATTATAATATGTTCGATATTCAGTACTACATTTGATCAGTCGCTATTAGCAAATGTACATTCTCAGTGGGTCCTTCGATACTCCGTCAAGTTACATGTTCTAGCACAATTCTGAGTTGCTTCTAACAGTGAAGTTCAGGATACACGTTTCGTCATCTATGGGACTGTCAACTAAATACACCATTATTCCAATATTGATTTTCATATTTGAGTTCGGACCTAATGTTTACCATTTCAAATCTTAATAAGTTATTCATCAACATTCTCCTTGGTCTCACTGTTAGCCACAGTTCAAAAACGTACTAAAACTCATAGTGTTTAAATTGCTGTTTAAAATTATTGACTTAACACTAAACTTACACAGTGTTTTGTACAATAAATCGATTTTCTTCCTTATAAAATTTACTCACTATCCTTACATTGGTTATTTCCTTATCCCTATTTTGTCTTTTAAGTATTTTACATTTCGATTAGGTTTTAAAATAAAAATTGTAAAGGATATTTGCGAACCGATTTACGAATTGAAAGAATGAAGAATGTGAAGTTGTATTTTGTTACCGTGTGTAATCGTATTTTTTTACGTATGATCATGGTAGAAATGTGACGAGTCATTAAGCTGACGGCTAGTTACATTTCTCCTTATCATTTGATTGATACCATCGTATAAATACTTGCATGAAATCCCAGTTTTCGCTGCTTAATTATTTCCATGTATAAGGATAATAATTCAAACTTGATTAAAATAAAGGAACAGAAAATTTTAGACTTCTGACCATTTCGTCCAAATGAGTAAACGCATAGATGTTATATCTTGTGACCGCCGATTAGAGAGCAGTGACTTATCGATCGAATCAATGAGGCGTAAAACCCGTACGAGTAGCCTAGAGTCCTGATTGACCTCACTTCCTGTCTAGCCCAGCCAATTAAGTCCAGAACACCAATCCGAGCCTCTGCGATATGAATCATTATATTTCAAACATACTCTGTTTATATACCAATCAAACAGACCACAACGTACCACAAAATAGAAAATAACATTTGTAAAATATTTGGCCAAACGTGGCTGTGAATGTGGGAGACAGTGACCAATATACTGGGTATAACTCAAGAATGATAAAACGTATAATAATAGTTTATGGGTCAAGATAAAGTTTATAATAAGAGAAAGATGAGTATCCATAGTTTAATTACTTAATAATTATAGAACAGAAATGTACGTTTAGTATTGGTCCATAAATGGATCCCAAAAATTACCATTCATTATTCTTGTCGGGACATAACAATAGAGTTAGCGGAATTTATTTTAAAAGCAAAGATACCGGAGATCTGATGTGATTAGTATCAGTGGATTTAAACCCTTGACCTTATCTTTTAACGACTGACATGTGGTAATAGATTGTGACAGTGTCACTCTTAACGATAAATATTATTTTATATTTCAAACGCCATTACACTCCTCAGTTATTGATTATTAATTTATATTACGTTGTTAACTCCTTAATGTTAATCAAATCCTGTCGATCAAACTTACCAATCTAAGTGATTCGACAATATTGTGCTCGATCGTTGATGTAAAATAATTGAAAACCATTATCAGGAGTTCTTGACTGACCTAAGTTCTATGTGAGTTGACATTCGTCAAAAAGTCCTCGAGATAATGTTGAAAGAACTAATGCTCCACTTGGGATTTTTCTTTATTCCAACCTTTGTCACAGTTACAAACTGTACAACTGACTTATTCGGGTCGCATCTGGGGACCTGTAAGACTTTTATGTTTAAACAGACTATTTTTTCGTTTTTTTAGCAACTAGTGTCAAACGGCCTAATTTTGGTGCAATGAAACTAATCTAAAACATGTAATCAAGTTATAAGTTATCCCTTTATTGGTTAATTAGTTAGTAATTTTAATAGTTGAGATCATCAGTCAACTGAAGATAGACAATCATGGAAAACCTGGAACCACTGAACGGCCGTTTCGTCCTATTGTGCTACTCCTCAGCAATGC